TCTAATTTATGTACTTCTCTTTGTTTCAGTCTAATTTAGGTACTTCTCAATTAAATACCAGTCTAATTTTGATATATCTCTATATACCAGTCAAATTTTGCTTCTTCTCTATATACCAATCTAGTTTTGCTTCTTCTCTATATACCAGTCAAATTTTGGTTCTTCACTATATACCAGCCTAATTTAGGTATTGCTAACTATACCAGTCAAATTTTGGTTCTTCTCTATATACCAGCCTAATTTAGGTATTGCTAACTATACCAGTCAAATTTTGTTACTTATTCCTCTTTTACCAGTCCAATTTAGGCTCTCCTCATTATACCAGATCAATTTTGGTACTTCTCTATATAAACCAGTCTAAGTTGGGTTCTTCTAATTATACCAGTCTAATTTAGGTACTTCTCTTTACCAGTTAAAATTTAGGTACAGTGTACTTCTCAATATACCATTCTTATTTATGTATTTTTCTATACACCAGTCTAATTTAGGTACTTCTCTATATACCAGTCTAATTTAGATACTTCTATTTATATATACCAGTATATTTTAGGTACTTCTCTATATACCAGTCTAATTTAGGTACTTTTGTACTTCTCAATATACTCTTCTAATTAAGGTACTATTCTACATACCAGTCTAATTTAAATACTTCTGAACATACAAGTCTAATTTATGTACTTTACTACATACAAGTCTGATTTAGGTACTTCTGAATATACAAGTCTAATTTAAGTACCTCTACATACCAGTTTAATTTATGTACTTCTCTATACCAGTCTAATTTAGGTACTTTTCTACATACCAGTCTAATTTAAGTACGTACATACCAGTCTTATTTAGGTACTTTTCGATATACCAGTCTAATCTAGTTACTTATCTATATACCAGGCCATATTGGGATCATATATGTACAGGTTTTTATAAAACCATCTTAGCAGCTGGATCAAACGTTTGATAATTTTTTATTATTGTGCAGTGGATATATCACTAAATTAAAATATTTCTACGTCGAATTATATAATCATACTATAAGCATACAGTCATCATTTTTTAGTTTGTTGTTAAAAAATAATTCTTAGTTTTTCGAATTAGGGGGTTCCGTAATAACCCTGTTTTGTATAAACGGGATTTACTGTCACCATGCAAGGTTATGCTATGCCTTAAATGTCATATCAGTTTAATTGTCATATCAATCAGAGACTTAACAAGATTTACTTGGATTTGTGGTACTGAGCTTAATTAAATCTTGAGAATTGTTAAATCTACGTGGATTCCGGGACATTTGTTTTTTGAATTCATAATGCAGAACATTAGAATTATCCAAAAGAAGCTCTATATCTTCATTCCAGGAAATACACACAAGTTGTGGTCCCAGTAAATCAGTATCTGTCACAATCAATGAGATCAGGCCATAAACATCCAAAAAAGCAAAACAATCACTCGGAAAATAATGAAGACACGGGGGAATCGGGCCTTCCCATAATGGAAACCGACCCTCTATTCAAGTATATTAGACAGAGGAGAGAAAAATTAGCATTGAACACATAGAATACTAGTTTTCCATTAGACTGAATTGATTCTTGGGTTTGTCTGAGGAATGCGAGTGTTCGCTGAGTTTTCTGATGACCGGATTTTTGTTTTTGTCGCCATGGCGAGGTGCTTATTGCCCGGATTATAATCCAATCTGACATGGAGGAAACCTAATGAGGGAGTTTCCACGGGATTACCGAAATAATGGACTATAGTTATCTCGTCTTAACGCAGGCTTACCGGGATGAAGAAATCATCTTTAATTATATCTTAAGCGGGTTTTGGCTATTGTGGGTCTTCGTTATGAGACATGCCATAATTTAAGTCTTATATCAAAAATTCAAATATGATGGTTTCATTTCTCCATGTTTTGATGGCAAATTTCACTTTTTAAAAACGCAAATACTTGTTATTAACCTACATTATACTGAATGTGGTATATCTTGTTTTCTTTACTTTTTTTTCGTGTGTGGGAGGAGGGGGTGGGATGGGGGAGGGATAATCATATACCGGGTAAATGATTATATTAAATTAATATTGCTTAATGCATATGAATTTAGAAATATTGCATGAGTAAGTAATATTAGAAGCATGCTATACATGATATAAATGTTAAATGTTCGCATAGCCTACATAAGTGAAGCACAATAATCAATCATTTATCGCGGGAAGGGTGTGATTCTATCGTCTATACTGCTCTCAGTCTAGGCCTGCTTTTTGAATATTTAATTTTTAAGTATTTTTTTCTTTGATATCTTTAAATTATTTAATAAAACGTATTATTTTCACATCGTTTCCTGTTTTACATAGAACGTACTTCGTTTGAATTATTACGGGAAATTTATCTCCAAGTTTAGCCATTACGCTGAGTGGATTAGAACTGTAAAACAACACTTATTTGGGGGCTCGTTAACAAAAGTGTAATATATTAGACAACCCAAAATTGAAAAGAGAGATTTATCTAAATCCCAAATGCATCAAAAGAAGAGTCGAACAGACAATCAAATGTGTATACACAGTACTTTAGAAAATTAGGTATCGATTTAATGTTCAAGTTAATTTTGAAAAGTTAAACTAATTTTGAATTTTTAAAATAAGTTCATTTATTGGCATTTTAACAACATGTTAGCCCATGTCTACAACCTGTTCAAATCAATATTGCTCAATCAACGCTGGGATGTTGAAAACTTGCGGAAAAAGGATGTATGGATAAATATTTGAAGTAGAAAATTAAAACGCGATGCATTTAGAGTAAATCGTTATAACCTGTTTACTGGAATCTCATTACTAGCAATTGGAGATTGAGTGGGTTATCATAAATAACTAGTCCCAGACCAAAATTAGGCTCTGTTAAACAGTGTTAAATGGGTTTCAATTGTTTTTTTCAATGATCTGTTCTATATATTTATACAGAGAAATAGGGACATGTGTTTTACATTTCAAGAGAACGTGTTTAGTTAAAGAGATCAACCCGTTCAATTAACGCGATTAAGTTTTTTTTTTATTTATAAATTTTTAATTAAATAATTATAATTCTTTTGAAAGAAGTCTATAGATATTTGATTACCCTGTAACATTTCGAAAACCAAAATAGTGCAATATTTTAGACTTTTGTGTTTCATCGTGGAGTCAGTAATACTTCAGTGATGGTAATTTCTCTATCATTTTACAGCTGCGGCTCTCTGTTGATACATAAAGCTACACAAGCTGATACGACGCTAGGGATCTTTTTGATTCCCCTCTTTTGAAAAAATAAATGAAAAAGAAATGATGAGAGAGGCTACAAATGCATGACCAGCGCCCCCTGCGTGAAAACTCCAAGAAATTCTTGTAAGGAAGTAAAATCCGGGTAAACTTGACCTTAACTGGCGTCTGTCTATCTGCTCAGACGGGTCCAGTCTAGTCCACATCTAATTGGTTTTGTGTGATTCATTACGCGTCACTAGGGAATTCGTTTCAATCTGTAAATTGATCATTTTCCGAGGTATCTTTGATAGGTCTATAGGCCTTCTATTGCTTTTCTTTCCATGCTTTCTCTGGTGTTAAATGGTGTGTACATAATTCACATTTTCTGTAGCCATGTTCTGTAACAGAAATACTCTACAGAACTAGAAGACGGAATTAATCCTCTGTTTTATTATATACACTTATCCACTGTTTGTGAGTGGGATAGTTTTATTCTTGCCCGAGGGGAATAGTTTCTGTAAATAAAAGAGTTATCCCACTCACAAACAGTGGATAAGCGTTTTATTATACTGATGTATAATATAATTTCTGAGGTTTGAATTTTTGGAGTAAGATAATACTGCAAGAATAATCTGAACTCCTGATGACGTCACAATGCTACTGAAGTCATTATGACATCATCAGTAGATAGATCTATCGTTGGAAATCAAAATTGGAGGCAAAAATTGCATGAAAATTTTCCTAGGGTGGATAGCAAAAACTATACCCCGGGGTATAGCTTTGCTATGCGTGAACTATAAAAGATAGCTATTTTACCTTCTGAACTTTATATAGGAAACATTTTAACAGAAGTATAATAATTCGTTTTATCAATAAATAATTTAGATGATATGCATACCAGTTCTCTATTTGGATGTGAGAGTGAGAGACATTAAGGAGCCTCACTCTCTCATCTCTCATTGATAACTTTGGCCACAACTATATAATACTTAGATGTCTCAGTAAAAGATGCAACACATCTCGGTGTCTAAGGAAGAAATTTCTGAAGACTTCGTCTTATAAATAAAAAGAGATATTCAAAAGGACCCTAGGCCTTCAGTTATAAATCTCTAAATAAACATATGTCTGAAATAAAAATATATCACACCATACTTCACTTTGTACTAGAACATGTAGAACTAACAAGCTAATTCAGGGAAGTTGCACGTGTCCCTCTCTGACGGAAAAAGAAGAGCATGCACGGATCGGGGGGGGGGGGGGGGGGGGGGGTTAGGGGGTCGAGGGTGACTCTTCAGTTCAAGAAAGGCGGGCAGGGCCATATATAGGGAGTTTAGGTTTATAGTTCTAACATAAAAAAAAAAACTCAAAAACTTCTTGAAGTATCACCTGTATATAAAAAGTTTTACACACTCACACACACACACACCCTATTTATTTTATGAATTTACGACCTTGACCTTTGGCCTCAACTTAATTAGGGATCTTCCGTAGGCCATCGGGAGTTGTGGTAGATCTAAAAAAAAACTTCAATGCAAAAACTCCAAGGTTTCTCGAGATATTGCGCGGAACGAAAGTGTTACAGACAGACAGAAATACTGACAGACGGACGGACAGCTGGACGTTCCGAAATTAATATCCCCCTAATCTCAGCAAGATGTCGCAGTGGACACAAGACCAAAATTTTTAGTCCCTACGATATCTTGCAGAGATTAAATATCCCCCAAATTCAATGATAAGATTATTTTTAAGCGGGATAAAAATATTTGCAGTATTCGGTTCTCTCATTTATCTAGACTTAAGGTGAAGGTCAGAAATGTAAATGTTTGGGAATGGAATTTTTCGTTCTCTGATTTATTGTGAGAAAAGTACGTATAGAATTCAGGTATCCAGTTGATATTTTCAATCCACGTTAAGTTTTCTTTGCAATTACAGAAATGTGATGACTAAGCAAACATCCATTAATGAGTAATTGAAATGCTTTTTAGTCCGAATTATCTCTATGAATTGTTTTCAGCAGCATGTCCCTATTGAGGTCGGTGGTTGGTATAACCAGACAGGTGTATACGTGTGTGGTTCGCCCAAGTTTAGCTTCAGGTAATATTTTAAAAAATAATTCACCAAAGCACAGTGAAAAAAGTCCATAAAATTTTCAATGTGTTCCCAGACTGGCCAGAGTAGAACACAAGATAATTCGAATATGAGCTTGCCATGGGTTGGCTGCAGATCTGTAACTCGCTGGTCTAAAAAAGAAACGAGAGAAATACAGTGCCACCCATACAAAGAACTGTATAATTTAGGTAGACTTTACTTTACCAGTCCCCAGATCTGCAAGATCCTCGATCGCTCTCCATGGACTATGACGTAACATTTACGTCACTAAACTGTGATAAGGGTTAAACTTGCACATTACTCGACTGATTAGGATTAGTCTTGCACCCACCTGAGAGATTAGGGTTAGTTCTTGCACAAGTATTCGACTGATTAGTGTTAGTCTCGCATCCATTCGAAAGATTAGGGGTAGTCCTCAAACATTATTCCACAGATTAGGGTTAGTCTAGCATCTGCCCGGGAGATTTCGTCTAAATGTCTTAGTCCTTGCATACCATCTGAGAAATTAGGGTTAGAGACTCTTTCTTTCAGACAAGTTAAGAAATTCAGTTGCTTCAGGTCAGGGGTCTAGAATTTTTTTTAAAACTCACTTGCCCAAGGGCAAGTGAATAGTGATACAATAAATTTCACTTGCCCGCCTAAAAAATTCACTTGCCCAACAAAAACATGAAACAATCAAGTTTTAAGATTTTATTGACATTATGTTTAGATATCCTGGCATTTACAGGCTAACATTTACTCCATGGTTCAAATATGTGAATATTTTCCTCTAATTAAAATATTTATGCTATTTATGTTTCTGATATACTACAAATATAAATATGCTTTATATTGCATTGTATTTTTGATATAGATATATTAATACACCGTATGCTATATTGAAAATTTTATTTTCAATGTCAAAATTATTGTTCAGTGGATTATAACATTTATATCGTTAATTCTAACCTTAATCATTTAAATTTCAAGAGTTATAGCCCTCAAATCACGTTCGTATCAATTCCGGCCAATCGAAAGTGTACCGTTTTCGGTTTTTCATTTATACAGCAAACAAGTATTTCCGGTAGTGATAATGTACATTAATTTGACGGGAAACACTGCATACCGCTTCACACAACTTACTAGCTAAGTAAATTCAAATCAATTTTGAATCAAAACTTGTGAAAAGAACAGCTTTCAACAACATAAGTTTCTAATGTCATTTATTTTTACTTTCCCGAGCGGGTGAGCATGACCCGCTATCGTACTTTCCCGTACGAATTTTTACTCACCCCAGGCAACGGGAAAGCGTAGTTCTAGATCCCTGGCGGCTTCAATCTGTAATTTTTTCAAGATTATAATTTAGCTTCAATGGCATTTCTTTGGTTTGTTTACATGGAAGAATGGCTAAGTCTGAAAGAAATTATACTAAGCATGCGCCGCACGCGCTTCACTCAGAATGATTCTTTGTCAATTTTTTCCATGAATAAACAATATTTATTAATCTTTTCAGAGAACAAGGTTAAAAACTTTATTTAAAAACGAAATTTTAAACTAAACTTTTAACCGTAGAATTTGACTTTGGGGTCAAAAAGGCTAAAAACTTTGTTTTTTTTTATTTTTTCGATCGCTCACGCGATCTCATATATACTGAAGTTGCCTTTGGCAACACTACATTTTAGCGCGTTTTTCTGGGGACTGGTAGAATAAAGTCTTTCCTATATTTACACAAGAAGTTGTGCTAACTAGGTTCGGGTTAATTTCTCCAAATTTTTACTTCACTTCCACAAAACTTCGTTTTAAAAATTTTCATTAGACCTCTATGTCTCAATCAACTACTGTCATTGGTATCATCTGATTTGCACAAAGATCATTGAACCAAATTATCTTATAATCCAAAATGATGGTATAAGTGGATGAAATCTTCGGTGATCTCAATTTCAAGCCCAGAAGGGCTTTTAGAAATGGTTATAAGGAATATAAGAGAATATTGGGAGCACAGTGTTGGTAATATTTGAGATGGCAGTTTGAAAATTTAAAAACATGGAGAGAGAAATCCAGAAACAACACACTTTTTGTTCGCAAAAAATATACTCTTTTTGCAATGGGTGGCACTGTAACTCTCAGGTCTGTCCATATAATTTTTTTAGGAGAGCTACACTTCTGCAGCTAGCTAAGGGTATGCAAAAAAAAATTTGTTAAAAGAACGTGCAACAACTGCTAAAACGACAGTATTAGTTGTGTGTTATTAGATTTTAAAATATTTGTATGATGTGTATCAGTTTTAACTTTAACATTGTGACACAGTTGGGGTGAGTGCAGTTGTATTATTTACTCTATTCCATCATGAACTAAATACATATCTTTCACTTTTACATTTGATGCAACTCAGCCAGGAGATCCAGCTTTATACATGTACAGCATAAATTTTTCTACATTGAGAGAAAAAAATAAATATTTTAGAAACATTTTTGTTTTTGTTGAAAATTGTTAAGTTCCATATATATTTACAGTGCTGTCTAACTAGATACATGTACTTAATATGTTTTTTTAATATGTTCAACTTTTGAAAATAAAACGAAGTAAAAAGTCTTTTTAAAGAAGAATTTTCTGTTTCAGTCAACCACCAAGCAGTAAGTTACTTCCATGAAAGTCAAGAAGAGAGAGTGACACTGGGAGACAATCAGCATGATAAGAAAAACTGGAGGTTGTTTATTTTTTTTGTAATATATATGATTTAAAAATAGGTTACTAGGCAGAATCATTTGTTGTAGATAATCTTTCTAAGAAACCTATTCTCATGAATGACAATTATTCTCTTCCTGTTACATGCAATGCCCTGTGATGAGCATTGTAGATTGACTTATAAACTCCACCACCACCCCCCACCCCCCAAAAAATAGAGAAAGAGACTGAGAGAGAGAGATAGAAAAAGAATAATCATAAGAATTCATGTCTACGGTGATTTGTGAGATATTGGTTATTTATAAACTTTTTCAATAGCTAGAATTAATTTGAAATTAAAGTTATCCTAATGCCAAGGATTTCCCATGGACTTGCTTTGTTTTGAACAGTTGAAGAAATACCGATATTGACATTTTTGATGTTTTAAATATAGAGAAGATGCTCACTGTTGTGAATTTTACTTATTTACTAAATGGAACTTTATTAGTTAGACCTACATGTAGTCATTCTGTGATTATTGTCATGTGATTTTCTTTTTTGACAGGAAGCATTACCCAAGTGACTTAACACTTAAAATGAAAATCGACGGGACACCTTACGATGAGCTTCCAGTAGTTAATATAAAATATAAAATCATCTATGTGATTGAGATTTAAAAACTGTAAAGCCTCAGGTAATCTATAGACCAGTGTATGTGATTGAGATTTATATGTACATCATACATGTATCCCTCTGTAAAGCCTCAGGTAATCTATAGACCAGTGTATGTGATTGAGATTTATATGTACATCATATCCCTCTGTAAAGCCTCAGGTAATCTGTAGACCAGTATATGTGATTGAGATTTATATGTACATGTTTATATTTATTAGTTATGAAGAGTACAAAAAATATTGCATGTAGTGAAGTGGGGTAGGGGGAGAGCGATTTAAATGATAAACTTTGAAACTCATTTTAAAAATCATTTTTGTCTTTATTGGGAGAGATTTATTTTATTTTGAGTAAATGCTTACTTTATTGACATACAGGGTATCTGCTCTTAAATTTCATTTTTTCATACTGTAAAATTAAAATTATTTAAAATTTTGCTTTTTAGGTGATATAATATACTCCTCCTCTGGGGTAGGTACAGAATTTTATTTTATTTTTTTAAATATACCAGGTAACAAAATAAAGTGGAATTACTGAGTACCTGCATTTACTGACTACCTGTACAGGGCATATTTAAGTAAGCTGCCTGATTTGTCTTTTTAGGGAATCCTTGGCTTCAGGAACACGAAGGGTAAAACAAACCTTTGTGCACAGACTGTGGGGTCCCACATAGGGGAGGTAATGGTCATTATAAAACAGATTCTTTAAACAGTACAGTGATTTTGTTCACCTCATTTGCAGATAAATTCTTTATTTGGAATTGTATGTAAGAGTAATTTGCTATTTAAGATAAAATGTCTTTTACAGAAAGCACTGGACTTAGGCTTAAAGAACCTAAGGGTTAAATTAAATGGATTAGATGGCAAAAGATCAGTAAGTTCTGGAACTTGTTTTATTTTCATAAATGTTTAACTATTGACAAATAAATGTATTTTAACTAGTTAAAACAGAACTTCCTAGCTTCGCTGGTGTGAAGTATGGAGCATTTAAGGTTTCCTGGGTCAATCAGGTGATTGCATGATTGCTGAATTTATCATCTTTTGTGCACAGTGTGTAAACTTTTGAACATATTCTTCTTCTTTGGACTGGTAAATCTAATTACACCCAATTTGGTATATAGCATCTATGAATAAAAAAGGACAGAAAATAAAATTTATGGTCTCTGCTACTCTTTGGCTTGTGGAATGTTGCCAAAAATATCGAAATTATTGCAATCTTCAGACATCTAACTTCTGTTTATTTGTAATTATAAACCCAGCTGAAATTGAGATAAGTATTTGTTAATATTCAATATTAATTCTGAATTACAGTCAGCCTTGCTGGGTTTACGTACTTCAGGAGTAAGAGTTGTATCAATCACAGATGCCACGAAGATACCACATAATGGGTGCCGCCCTCGGAAACGACCCAGAAAATAAACGGTAAGTTACAACTACAGATGTAACTAAGGTACCACATAATGGGTGCTGACCTAGGGAACGACCCAGGAAGTAAATGGTTAGTACAATCACAGATGTCACTAAGATACAACGTAATGGGTGCTGACCTAGGAAACAACCCAGAAAGTAAACAGTAAGTTACAATCACAGAGGCCACTAAGATACCACATAATAATGTTACATTATACACAAGTACATGTAAATTTTTGGGGGGAAATGATTATTTTTTTTTCAGTACCATTTCTCCTCTATAAAGAAGATAATTTTTTCTTGATAGCAGCTTCAGGCTTTGGGGTGTTTGATCACTTGTTTCCCATCAAGGTCACAAAGAGGCAATGTCATATAGCATGTACACATATGAGTTTTATGTAATATTGTCTTTTACTCAGCAATGATCTCTTCCAGTATTTAGTGGGTAGCGAGCTAAATTATTGTACAGTCAAACCTCATTATCTCAAAACTCAAAGTGACCAAGGAAATACAGAGAGATATCTGAATATTTGAGATATGGAGGGTAAAATACTTACAGAATGGGACTACAAAATCACTTTGACATATCCATGGCATTCAGGATGAATTTCAGCTGTATATTTTTTCTTTTTTATCCTGGATAGTTTTTTAGATCATGTTTTTTAGTCTTTGGAAACTTGATTTTTTTTTCTCATTAATTAAGCATTGAATTCATATTTTTGGATGTCTTCGGTCCTATAACACACCTGGCCGTGCCGACAAATTGAATACCGCGCGTTAGCGCGGTATGATAATTTGTCGGCACAGCCAGGTGTGTTATAGGACCGAAGACATCCAAAAATATGAATTCAATGCTTATATTTACATTCTCTAATTTTTGTTCTTCATAATTGCTTATTTCGTTAATCTTTCATGTGAATTTAGTGCCTTTCAAAACTGCTGTGGTTAATAGATGTAAGAGCCGTTTGTGACGTCAAATGACGTTAAATGACGTTGCAAAGTTAACTTACGCAAACAAACATTGCGAGGAAAAAAGTGACAAATTAATTATTAACGCACGTTACGTTAATTTTTACGTTAATTTTTCAGGGTTATAGTTTTTCATTAAATTGAAGTAAAATATTTTACAATTTGGTGTTCCTAGAGTATTGAAATTGCATATAGTTCCTACTATGTATTCTAACGCGCGGTGACAAGGTTTCGCGTGTGTTATAGTAATTTGAACGTCGTGGATTTCTAATGAATTTCATAAGGAAAATCACACTGAATGTAAATATATGTATTTACATCAACCAGGTCATTATGATTAGTATACATCTTAGTGTCTTATTGTATTTCTCAGACATTTCATGAAGTAAAAATTCAGGGGTACAAAATTTTCTTTTAGGAACTGAAAAGGACTAGTTTACCCATCAAGGTACAGTAATCAACTAACACTAATGTGCTTTTTTTTTCAGAGAACATCAGAGGTAGGGAGATTGGAGTCTGTAAGCAGTATACCTACAAATGGTAAACCAGTTCTGGAACAAATCATGTGACAGTCTAACACTTGTTTTTTATGTGACTTTATTTTGATCCTCAAATTCAGATCTGTCAAAGTTTCAGTTGAATTGTCATACAGATCATGGAACTGAATAAAAACATTTCATACAACCAAGTCCTGTATTTGTAATTTGTGTTGAAAGGTACATGTATTAACACATTTCTTTTAATAATTAGGTGAATAAAAATATTTAAAATTCATAAATTTGAACACATTCGAAATTTTTCTAGAAAGCATAGCATATTTTTTTCTAAATAAAATCAAATTACTAAAAAAATAGTTTCGATTAAAATGTCAGTATCAAAATGTTCAATGTATGAAAAATTTCAAGAAATGTTATAAAATAGTTCATTTACAGAGAAAAAAATAATGAAAGCATACATTGTACATGTATTTGTATTGAAATTCAAATTAGAATCTACACAAAATTGTAAAGAAATATAAAATGTTAATTCACAGTACTATCACAGACAGTGTTTGTAAATACCAAATAAAAATTATAAATATGATACAAAACAATATAAATAATTCTAACAGTAGATTGACAGTGTATTGTAATTAATGCTCCATTGGTTCTGACACAGATTGCATGGACACATCGCTCATGGACTGTTTTTGATTTAAAATACTGGTGACTCGGGCTGCTCTAGAGGCCAGAAGAGTTGCATCTGTAATTGCCTGCAAAAAGGATTAATTAGCATTATTAATAAATACATAATTGATAAACTTTTAATTTCATACTCCTGTAAAGTAGAATCATGATACAGTCACTCATTCTGACAGAAACTGATCAGAGAACACTTAACAGCTTAACTGATCAATAAAGAATTTGTCATAACATTGATGCCCAGTAGATTCCAACCTACAACTCATGTACTGGAAGACTCAACCACCAACTACAGTAAAATTGTTACTAAAACATGCTTATGAATTGATGATTTTAAAAAAAAATTCTTGAACTTTACAAATACACATGTATAACAAATTATGTTTTATATAACTAAGTAAAAATGTCCTCTGGCACTTCATTAGAAGTGTGTATTACTACTGTACAAGACACTTTTGAGAATATTTCATACGGCTTATTCACTTTAAGTGCAGGAATAATAATTTTCAACTACCCGGTATATTGCATCAGGTTAAATCATTTTGTGAGAATACTAATTCTTGATTCTCTTTCAGCATCATATTTTAATCAAAGGAGCATGCTGACTCTGGTATATTAACAATTGTTTAACATGATGAAGATCAACGATCAAAATTAAATTTATACATTTAGCAAACCATACAAGGTAAATGTAACTGAGAGGCAAATCAATGAGATCATTTAAGAAGATGGAGCATCTTGTACTGAAATCATAGTCCTTTGCAAGGGGTCATTTTAATATCTAATGCTTAAATAATGATATTGGACTGATTGAAAAATTACAGAAAACAAGAGGTCCATGGGCCACAATGCCGACCTGAGTAACCATGGTCCTTCTCAAGAGCTCAGTGGTTAGAGTGCTGGCACGGTACACCTGGGCAGATCTTTGGAGATTTTGTCTTGTGTATACCCATGTAAAACTTTGACAGACATAGTTATCCCACCCTACAACCAGGGGTCATGACTTTCAGAAACTTGAATAGATCTGCACTCAAAAATTCGTACAAGTTTATTTTTTCTGGCCAAGAGGTTCTTAAGAAAATGATCATAACAAATGATCACTATTTTTTTAAACTATCTCCTAAGGTATGGCCCTTTAATTTCCTTTACTGTAGGATACCCTTTGTCAAGTTTGGCTGAAATTTGCCTAGTGGTTCTAGAGAAGATAAAAATGTGAAAATTAACATTAGACAACTACAAATTTTAATCAGAAAAGCTCACTTGAGCCTCCAGCATAGGTGAGCTAAAAATGGAGTAATGTTTAAAGTTATGTCTGTAGATTCTTCATTATCAAAGATAAATGTATATTTTTGAAAATGGATTAAATCCAGTGAACATACAGGTAACTCATTATAAGCTTGCAAACGGATTTGATTGGCTCAGACATCTAGCATTTAATTCTTTACAAAAATGACTTCTATTCTACAATTATGACTTATAGCTTCTCTTATGAAATGTGACCTGCAAATACTTTCACGAATGTGGATTAATTCACGAGGAAACTGTGTGCTTAAATGTGATGTTAATGAAATCTGCTTCTCAACATAATTACTGAATACACTGAATCAAGAAAGTGTAGAGATACTTTTGCTTTAAGGGAAGACAGAAACTGTGGTAAAGTTTAATAAAGAAATTCTTTCAGGCCAACTCTTAAAAAGCAGCTGATTATTGTAATGTTCGTATATTGAATGAATGGATCACACCAAACTTGACACAGAGTCTTACCTATTCTGTGTGAGGTGCAACTTCTTGATACTGACAAAATTCATATATTGTATCATTGTATTTCTCAAAAGGAAAGACAGAAAATGCAGTGGACAAACATCTTGTCTGATATAAAAAATTATGTGTCTGTACAATCCATCATCAATACACGTACTTGAGCAATGTGAGAATTATGTTGGTTTTTCCATGTGGAGGCATGCTTGTATGAGCCTAAGATCATTACCTTCATTTTCCTTGTGGCGTTGAATTCCTTGATCTTCTCGTGGGTTTCTGGCATGTGTTCACTCTTGGCGGCCACACCCTGGACCCACTTGTGGTTGAGGGCCTGAACCTCTGTTAGACGTTTCTTAGGGTCCAGCTGAAGCATCTTTCTGACAAAGTCCTGGAAGTGTTATGATATCAATGTGAGTGTTTCACCAGGTACAAATTAATAATTATGGTAAAGACTATCATAATACAAACACTGCTGCAGTTTAGCTGTGATGTTAGTAAGTTACAATTATTTTTCATTTAAACAACCACAATTAAGAAATACACATATAAATGTAAAAGTAGCTTTACCACTACCCTGACCGAAGTCATTTAAAAATAAAAATTTTAAGTATGTAAGGTGCAGCATGCATGCAACAGACAAACCATTGACAAAGGTATCGTATGTTTGGAGAGGCATGTGATAAGCTAAAAATTGAAATGTAGTCAGTCAGAACTAAAATGTAGGCATGTTGCACATTGTCCATGCATGCTCCAGATCAACATGCTGTGTTGGATGATCACATGGTTTTTTGAGTTTTGATAAGTTGTGCACAGATTTAAGTTCTAATCTTACTTATAAAGCATGAACTCTAAGCTAGTCTTAGATACAGCATCTGAAGCTTGCATTTCTGCTGTGCTTATGATTATGTCCATATAAACAGGAACTGTGATTATAGAATACCCTCCCCCCCTTCAACCGAACCTCATTCCAAGAGGTATACAATAAATGACAAAATTGATAAGCTATGTGTTGTCAAAGAGAAAACTCATTTTCTAAATCTTGATTATGTTAAACTGTTGTACCTTGGCATTTTCACTGATGTTATTCCAGAATGGTGCGTGAAATTCATACTCTGCTTTCAGAATTTTCTTGTACATTGTCCTCTCGTTTTCACTGTAGAATGGCTCATAACCACATAACCTGAAAGGTAAACAATTCATGTGAAAAGTTATGGAAAAAGTATTGATGTTTTGAGCTCCATTCTGCATATTTTATCTCAAACTAAAGATCTAAAATTCTTATTTTGTATTTTTTTTCCATTGTAATTTTAATTGATAAAGTCTACCTTTGTTGAAGTACTTCTGTCAGATTCAGAGAATGTAAAAATTTGATGCTGGTACCTGAGTTGTCTTAGAGAATGTGAGATTACTCGTTTTGACTTATTTTAATATGGTACCTTACTCACAAGCTGATGATGATTCTGTTATGTAATCTACCTGATTTACAGGTTGTGTAATATGACTCACTGTCATGTTTCATCTGACTTACAGATTAAATGATGGCTAATTGTTATGTGATACCTGACATATCAAGTGTAGGACCCATTGTAATGACTTACAAGTTGTTTGACAATCCATCTTAAAGGTGAACAAGACTTGCCATATTAGTTTTCCTATCCCCTATCTCAGCATGGGAGTATATAAACCCTTTGCATTCATTACACATGATTTCTTTTCACTTGGTCACTGCTGTATGTAGTGCATGTATATACATTGTACATTGTCCTTTTTGTTTACACTTTACTGAACGTACAACTGTGTTTATTTCATTTTTCAATCCATTGACATGACAAATGAAATCAAACGTCTTCAGCAACCTTTTTTTCTGACATGGTAGAGGAATGACATGTACATTATATTGTGCCCCCTGTATCACAATGGCAAAGAAGGAGACATCCATTCAGTCAAGTCCGTTCAGAAAAATAAGTTGAACAATAAACAAAGCTGAGCTTATATAGAGGCTACAGGAAGACAATCCTGAGAAGACAAATATGGCTGACAAGGATGACTCTCTTCTTTTTAAAAATTATTGTGTTCAGCTTTAAGGAAGTATCTGATTTACAGATGTATCAGGCTGAGCATGATGCCTCATTGTGAAACCTATGTGATGGTTTGATGTAACATAGTACCTGACTTAGTGGATAATGTACAATGTCTCACTGTGGTAACTAACTTACAAGACGTGTTTGGTCACTAACTGTAATGTGGTACCTGAATTACAAGATGTTCTGATGACTTACAGGATGCCTGTAATAACTTACAAGATATAAGTGATGACTCCAATGCTCCACATGTCTACAGGGTAAGAGTAGGGTCTGCCAGCCAAGACCTCGGGGGCTGGAACGAGTTTAATACACAATTAGAAAAGTAAAACATTTATACTGCCTTTAACATTTAAAGCCAGAATAACATACTTTATACCAAGAGTAAAATTATATGGATAATTTATCAAGTTGCACAGTGCTATTTTTCCAATCCATTTGTCAAAGTAGGATTAAGGAATTCTGCCTGTGTGTCTGTCTGAACTCACCACAATATCCTGGGGTCCCACATACTGTATTCATTGTCACCTCCCTTTCAATGATTTTAGAGAGACCAAAGTCAGCTGAAAATATAAGTTAAAATGAAAGAATCTTTTTCAGTTTTATTTGACATTATGCTGAACATATCAAATTAATCTAATAAATTCCATATCCAAACAATCCATTTGTCTTTTAGAGTTCATAAAATGTGATGAATTGATTAATTTATTGGAATTTTTCTATTATATTATTAGTGTGAATTCAATATTTGTTAACCTACCAACTTTGAGATTGGATTCATCTGTTAAATCTTCATACAAAAGGTTTTCAGGCTAAAAAACACATTTTAATAAACTCACTGAGTGTATTGTCACTGACTTTTCTCTTAGATTCTAGTAATTTTCAATGCAAGATAAAGCCTCTGTCAATACACAGCAGAAAACACATAAATGAAAAGTGGGTTTCAATTTTCTACATAGCCAATAGAAGACATAGTTGTAAATTCCTTGATAGTTGAGCATAATGTTATAAGCGTGTTCAGTTTTACTCTAAAATAAATTATCAACAATGGTCAGTAGGGAGAGAAATGAATCTGATCTGCCTAGTATAATAGGTATAAATTGCTGTCAGTGTATAAAACATTAAAAATAGAATTGTAGCTTGTAGCAGTTATAACAAGTAAACAAGATTATTTCTTGGTACTTTTAGTCTTTTACATGTACATATAAACTGACATATGGACAGAGTCAAGCAGCTGGTTTGTTTGCTTGTGATGCAGGTAAAAATGATAACATTTAAAGCCATGTAAGATAAAATTGTTTTACAAACCTTCAAGTCACGATGCACCACTTCATTCTCATGAAGATACTGTAGAAAAAGAAAACAGGTTTATATAAAATGTTGAACATTATGAACAAGAATCTATATAAAACTTATGAAATTTTGCTTTTTTCTGTTGGTTCAGATCTCACCTTGACTGCGACCAGCATTTGTTGGACGGCTTTGGAAGCATCTTTCTCGGAGTAGTAACCTCGATTTACAATTCTATAACAGACATCAAATTGATGTCATTAAATCAGATTTTGAAATAAAATTAACAAAGTTGAACAAGGATAAGATATTTTCTTGTTTTCTCCATGAAATAAATTGAATTACCTGTCGAAGAGTTCACCTCCTTTGACCAACTCAAGAATAAGATAAATGTCTGTGGGGCTCTCATAGATCTCTTTCAGTCGAATCTAAGAAACCACACAAAATCAAAAATGCTGCAGTGTTTATTCTTCTAGCAGAGTCTGAGTGACAGCATTGTATGCATAAATTGTTAATAAAGTGTCACATTTTTAAATTGAAACCCTAGGCCTAATCAAACATTTTAAATAGAAATTGTTAAGATATATTTTCTCCTGATAATCTTTCCTCTCTCCTCATGAAAGCAATTTAAAGCAAACTTCAATTTATATCATATTTACATTGATATACATATAGTGTAGTATAAATATAAATACCACATTCTTATGCTTGAGCTTTAGGAGGATCCCAATCTCTGAGTTAATGACTTTCTTGTCCACCTGCCAAATAAACACAGTACTTAATGTTCATTGCTGTTTATCAAATTAGTACCTTGTCTTTTTTTTCCATCTTGTTCATATTATAATGAATGTTAAGTTCTTGTGAAATTGAACTGACAGTAATTTAAATGAAACCGATATCATGAATAGCAATACTGACCCTTTTGTGGATAACTTTGGCAGCCCATTTCTGTTGTGTCCCTTTTTCTTCAACTTTGACCACTACTGATGTTGCACCTCTTTGAAAAAAAAAATGTACACAAATGTATGTATGGTAAATATGGAGATTCATTTACATGCATATAATTCATTATATCTTAAATATATTAAAATAAACTTTAACATTGTGTATTTACTCACTTTTTGGGGGAAAAAATATTATATGACAAATGCAACTAATGTAAACAGGTCCGGCACAATCTCTTGATTAAGCTATATAGCTTGTTTTAGCTTTATAGCTTTATTAAGCTATTCAAAAAAGCTTGATTAAGCTATTTTATCATACTTTTTTCTCAAATGTGTTATTTCCCAGCATGTACAAAAAGTCGCACCTGGGTGCAGCGATATTATTCAACTTTGAACTCCTCCAAATACAATGCATATAAAAATCACTCACTAAACTGCGTCTCCTTGACAGACTTTGTACTCAAAGTTCTAAAAGTTTGAGGCTATTTATGAGTGACCAAACAGTTATTTCTTGAATGAAATTATAAAGGATGTCAGTCATAGCCAACAGGATAATTGATTAATTGGTAACACTAACAGTTCAGCTCAATGAGAGGCAATCATACTTATCCATGTATCACTGCACACAAGGTAGTGTACAGTTGCTCAAATAATGGAAATTCATATTTTTCTTAAATGTATTCAACAGCTGCAATATTAAAACTATCTATGATTCGGGTTGCTTTCTTGATAGCTTATATATATATGTCAGACGTCAATTAAATATTTGCGACTTTTTGTTTATTTTTTACAAAAAAAAAGTTTTTTGTGAAAAACTGCATATAAAAAGCTTTATGGGGCTATTTTTTAGCTATATAGTTATTTCAAGCTTTATAACTTAATCAAGAGGCTGTGCTGGATCTGATAAATAAAATGAAAGTCTGTTACTACGGAAAAAGCGGGCACCTGTCTGGTGCCATTTTTACCTTCCAAGTTCTGTAAGCTGTAGGTAATAATCCTCAAATCTTTTATCTTTAATGCTCTCATTTATCCAGTAGTCTTGCTTTGCCTCACGAGGCATTTTGTGACAAATTTATTAAGTTTTCGTTGTCTAGTTGATTAAGTTTTGTTGTTGCTCCGATAGGTCACGTGACTATACTTGCAACATTTTTTTAATATCCCGATCCCGAGTTTATAACAATTCCAGTACTGCGGATTTTAGTTTCCCCAAATTTTGCTACAAATGACTATGTATTAATAAAAAGGAATGAATGATTCCATTCTACAAATTTAAAAAAGTACCCTTGGTGGACTTTTAAAATATTTTCAACTCTTCAAACAATAAATTAATTATACAAACACGATTAAAATAAACTTTCAAAAACCTTGTAATATGAAGATACTTTTTTTTTAATGATGAGATCAAAGGTTGACAATAATTTATTAAATGCACTTTGGCCTATGATTAAGGAAGTTCTTCGTCAAGTGAAAATGCAATACGAGGGTTGATCCAAAAGTAATGTCACAACTTTGATAAAATTGCTATTAGTCGAGGTAAAGCAACAAAATTATACAGGATGAAAGCTTTATTTATTTCAAATTAGACCTGAAAAATTCAAAGGAATATGATGTATACTTTCCAAAATATCGGATTTTAAACAATGTGCGTTTATGCTAGTCGCCGCACCTAAATATAACGTCATATGACGGATTATCACCGTCATACTTTTAAGCGCCTCCCCTTCGTTTCATTAAAAATATTTGTGATTCGCAAACACTTTCACCAATTCCAGTTTCTTTAAGAATTCTTGGTACCATTATACACTCACTCTTTTCATGATTGAGCCCTCTGTCAAAATTTTTTGAACAGTAGCATAAGACAAACTTAAAGATTCACAAGTCACTCTATACGTCTGTCTTTTTTGACAACGTCAGATACCATTGAACATTTCCGTCCGATCTCCTATCTTTCGGTCTCCTTGTCCTCTTCTAATTATTCAGTGACCAATCACCCGCCCAAAATTGCTGAAACCATCTATTAAGATGTCTCTTATTTTCATTCTTTATTCTGTAAGTCTGATTAATTAACGTAACTGTCGCTTCTGATGATTCGCATATTTTGAAGCAAAAATACATTACAACTCGTCGTGCCGTTTTTTTTTATTTCGACAATCCCTTTGTTCAATTCAACAAAGTAAAAGAACAATGTTTATGATCACAAGTACCAATGCCGTCATTTAATTTTCAATTTAAAACTAGAAAATGACGAGAATTGGTAGATTGGGAGATTTGGTGCTTTTTAATGCGTTTCAATGTCTTTTTCATTTTAAGAAAAATACACTTTAAAACAAGACGTCCTGTTGAGACGCGGCGACATCCCCTATACTCCATGTTTTAAACATCTATAAAATAAATTCAAATAAATATTATCAAATTAAAATTTTAATGTTAATTAGATTTATAATTGTGCATCTTTTGGTATATTGTATTTGATAATATGACGCCAAATATAAAGGATATGGACGTTGTGACATTACTTTTGGATCAATCCTCGTATAACATACGTTTTGCAGCATACTTTTGACATTTTGCTACACTTTGCATGTGTGGGAATTTCATAGATCTAAACAGATAAACTAAAGCCAACTGCTTAGTACCAACTGCCGGGGGGGGGATAACATTTGACCATTGAAAGACTCGTCCCCCTCCCCTACATCAACACATTTTGGTGTTGCAGTATACTAGTACATGTAGTCAAAATCTGAATAGAAAACAGTGATACTGATCCTGTCCAAATAACAAAACAGGCAATGTTATCTACATGTATAAGTAGCGGCAACTGCCTGGCAAGTTTGCTGCTATAATCTCGCTATAAGGGACAGGGACTTCAGTGTTTCACAAACACATCTTATTTGTGGAGAAATTTTGCATAAATTGATTAAATGAATTCTTAACCGTTTTTGTTGGTGGGATGCAAAGACTTCATTTCTCTTAATTTATAGATTCCAAGGCTCCCCAACCTTGGCTATAAGGACACAAATATATGTACTGGGGTAATGAAAAATATTTATAAAAAAGAAAGAAAGCATTTATGAGAAAAATTCAATGACGCTCCCTCCCATTGTGTTATCTAGATAAAGTACCAGCTGTATTTCTAAGGCTTTTGTCAGAGAGGGATGTTTACCAGAGGCCTCAGTTTATACACTGTCTGAGGAATCTTCAATTCAGCATAAATCATCCCCTGTTTCCCGCTGCATTCAGTTAGAATTATGGATAAATATAAAGACTTTAACTTGCAAGGAGTTATCACAGAGAAATCATTTGGAAATTTAAATATTAAAACTTTACTGGTATACAAATCCTAGGTCTTAATGCCATAAGATATAACAACAATCTTATCTTCTTTTTTTTTTTATTATTAAAACCATTAATGGTAGATTTGGTTAATTATGATAAAATGTAAAATATTACATTATAACAAGTTCCATCCTGTGTCTGATCTGACACACGAAAAAATCCAGAATCCACACAGATCCTAGTTTTGATCCCGAAGGATAACCATTCCGAAACAGTTGACCCCCCTCTCTGGGGGTAATCCCATGTAAACCTCTTCAAACAATGAAGATAACATTTCAAGTTATCTCATGAAAAAAGTATCCAGACATAGAAATATATATATTTAACAAAGTCGAAAACAATCATCACAAAATGTAGCAAAATGAAGGGAAGATTCTATAATGAACGATGACAGGGTTCATAATGAAGACATCTGTTTATAAAACAGCTACTTCTAAAACACAGAACATCATGCAAGACCATGAAGTGAAAGTCTCTTGAACAATAAAGAATTGAAATTTGATCAGATCCAAAGGTCACCTACTTCAAACACAAGTTTTCTCTTGTTACACTAAGCATGGCAGACCAGCTGCCTTTTAATATGTGTTCACTTTTCAAAAATTTGAATATATTGTAAGTTTACATCAAATCTATTAATAATCATGTATAATAAAGTTTTCACATTTTCACTACTTCTGTGTACAATTTTATAAATAAAATAAATATTACACATTCCAATGACAATATTTTATGAATCAGCAGTTGATATGTGGTTTTACATTAAAAAATAAATCTTGTTTAAAATTACAGAACTACATGTGCAGTTGGTTGTTAGTATTCAGCAGTTCCTTTGTAATGGTTGACGTATTCTTTGAAATGATTAATGAAATACATTGCCTATAAATGAACAAATATGAAAATCTATGTTAAATAACAAAGTGAGGGCCACATGTCTATATAAAAAACAGGTTAAAAAGTTCTCAATCAATTTGGCAAAAAAATCGCTATAAAAATTAAAGTCATAAAAATAAAGATCTTATTTAGTGTGGGAATGTTTGGTAAGGAATTTGTTTCCTGAAAGATTACAAGAGGTCACATTAGTAGTGATGATAACCCCTTAAGAGTCAAGCCTATAAAAAGATTGTCACCCTGGGGTAATATCCAAAGTCAGTCCAAGTAATGAAAAAATCACACCACCATCACATTAGCATCCTAAAGTCTAAAACACGTGGCCTTTACTCACACTATATAAATTTACAAAAATCCAATATACATATAATTCTTCTTTTTTTTTTAAATTAAAAATTTTGCTTTTATTACCATGGAAACCAAACAGTGACTGAATGAGTAATAAACACAAAAATTAATAAATACATCATCTACACATAACAATTTAAAAGGAAAAATGCATCACTTATAGAGTGTGCTTTTCATCAACCTCTATACGTATATAAAACTTTCTGCATTAATTAAAATAGCGACTAATTTTTCCATGAAAATTAAAACTCATTATGACCCTAACAGTGATGTGACATATCTCAGATCTCCAAGTGTGCCAGCACTTGTTACAAATTCATTATCAGTGTTAATTTAGGCAACATGAAATATAAAGATGACAAATCATATCAGGCAAGCTATTTAGACAGTGTTTTTAATAATATCCTACTACAATTTAAATCTTTATAAAGAAATATTTAAAATTAAAAAAAAGTTTATTGATGTTTTTTTTTTTTTTGCCTCCTTACATGATTTTCACCCACACATATCATGCTGCACAAAAATCTCAATTATCAGTGGAAGATAACTGAAAATGTCTAATTCTGGAAATTAGGCAGTCTTTGGCTTTGATGAGAAAGGAGCTTTGTCCAATCAACAAACAGGAAGGTGATATGATGCGGCGTTCCTGAGAGAGAAGACAATTGGTTGACTTCTGTTGGTATCATCCAATCAGATATACACTACTGGAACAGGACTTGGCTGGTTACCTGCCCTTGTTTAGTCTTTAATGGTCTGGCAATTGTATGGCACATGTCTATCATCTGAAAAATTAGAATCTGAATGAAGCAAATTTGATGCACTGCTGGGCTCAAGAAAACTTTATTGCTGTAAAAGCAATATACCACATTAACTAAGTCTTATCATTAATTTACATAATATGAAAAAAATACTGACCTATATTTGTTACATATAGAAAATCCCACTGCCATTTTTCTGATGGCCGGGTTTTTCCTGAGCATTATTTTTGGCATCACTACTCTGTCCACTGTCCACAGACAATGATTTCTGTCCTCCATTGTTATTTGGGGTTTTCCCCTTGGCACCTGGCTCTGCCAATTTTAACACTCCACCCAAAAGTGAGGATGATGACGATGATTTCTGCTGTTGCTGGGGGCGATTTGATTTGTAGATATTTGACACGCTTTGACTTCCCGTGATCTGTTGTGAACCTGACTTTCCCCCCACATCTGCTAGTTTGAATGGCAGGACCTGCTGAACTCCTTTATTAGAACCAGTAGATTGAGAAAGTGGAGAGGGAGAGCCTGATTTCTTCTGTTCATTTTTAGCACTTAACAAATGTGCAGGCAGTTTCTGGCTCTTATTTCCAGCTAATTTACTCGACACACTTGAAGAGAAACTTGCTGCCGCCTGGACACCTCGTGGCTGATCAGGTCGTGCGGGAAGCTCACGGCGGGTGGTTTTCATGTGACCTGATTTCAGCCTCTCAAGGTCTCCCTCTATCATGGAGCAGAAGTCGGCACTTGCTGATCGTCGGTGTGAGTTCTGACTGGGCGAGTCAGGACAGGTAACATTTCTGGGATCCGTGGAGCTGCTTCCCTTCAGGTTTTCTTTGTCCCTTAATATCACTCCCCCTTGTGAACTGACTGTTTTATCTACAGGGGAATCCCTATGAATTATCTTCTCTTGTTGCCACATGTCAATTTGTCGCTGGTAAGCTTCTTTCTGTCTCTTTAAATCTTCTTTCTTTGCCAGTAAATCAGCCTGTAAAAAAGATATCAATATTCAACAATAAATTCTTACTATAATCCACTCTGAATATGAAATTATGAACTACTTTACATTCTTCTTGTTAACCAAAAAACTAAAATAGAATCATATTTATTATCTACAGTTTATGAATATCTAATGACCAAATACAATACACTCTTGTACATCACATACCTGATCTTTTTCCAGCTGTTTGCGCTGCTCGTCCAGTAGAGCCCGTTCTATGTTTATCTGCCTCATCTCGTTCTCCCGCTGTCTGGCTAACACCGCTTTCTCCCTCTGGACCTGCTCCTGGATGTTCCGTAGCTCCTCCAGCGTGTGATGCTGTCTGTAGCTACCTCCCCGTTTATCGTGGACCTCCGCAGACAGCTTGTTGATTCTCTCGTTTGCCTCTGCTAGCTGGGCCTTCAAAGATTCCACCTCTGTTCCATGTCTGGCTGTTAAATGCTGAAAAGACAAACAATGGGACTTGTTCATCCTTGTGGTCCATTAGGACAAATTACTCTCCCCCCCTCCCCAAATAATGAAGTTAAAAAATCTTTAACAAGATTTAATATAACATTTACAATTATTGTTGTGCCAAGGCAATCATACAAAATATGAAAACAATATGCATATGCCATAAAAAAAAGGAATTTCATCTATTGTCACTTTCCAAATTGGCTTTTTATATTTTTGCAGAGCCATAAGATCTACTAAAACATCTAAGGCAATATCTCGATTCATAATTTGATAAATGATGAAATAATTACACAGACATGCCACAATGCTGTTGAGGGAGAGAGTGTTGATTACACTTACCACAATACTGTTGAGGGAGGTGGAGAGCTGCTGCATGGTGGTGATGTGCTCTCTGGTCAGGATGGCGGGGGTGTGGGAGGGGTAGACCTCCATCACAGATCCTGGGATACTCTGGCTGTCATAGTTACAGCTGCTGCTGTCATTGGTGTCCATGTACAGAGATTGCTGAAATCATATAATACAACTGTAAATGTAAACAGGATGTGGAGGGTAATATGAACAAGAATATTATCACTGAATCTAATGGATACGTTTCGACATTTGTGGGAATATCAATAACTGAGGTTCAATATACAGAAAAGGATTGTACCATTTCTTTTTCTTTGTTTGATGACCTTGCTTATGCTGGTTTCTGCTGCTTACAATAAATACGTACCTGATCATAGGACAGTTCTGAGTCGCTGTCAGTCTGCGGGAGATGACTGTCACTGTCCATCACATGACCGTACCGCTTACCATCATTACCTGTATAGAAATCTTATAGTATATTGTATTGGTTTGAATTACCTATCTGCTTTACAGTAAATCTTGCTTAAAAGGTATACAGTTATATGAATTTATAGCCTAAAAGAAATAATCTGACATCCCCCTTATATTTCTGTAAAGAAAAATCTTTTCCAAAGAAATGAGTTTCAAAGACCTTGGTTACAAATAAGACTTAGGTATAACAAAAGGAAATAACTAAAAAAAAATAGCTAAAATAGCCAACCTTTTGATAAATCAAATGCAGTGTCAAAGCCAGCAAAGGTCTCCGCCCGCTTGGCCATGGGCGTGATTTGATACGAGGAACTGACGTGTTCCCCCACACTGCTGACGTGACGCATCAGCTGATTGTGGCTAGAGTCCCCTCCCTCTAACATGTTGGTCAGGTTAGAGGCTGTTACTGTCACTGTAATATAGAATGTCAGGAATAAATAAATCACATATACACACTACAGTATCCATGTAAATAATTCTTTTTTAATCTATCTCCCTTCCCTTGAACAAGATAATAAAAACACTGTGATTGCTTATACATGAACATCTGAACTTTGGTGATATGTGATTAATGCTGCATTCAGATTGATTACCATGCTGTAATGCTGCCTGTAGAGCATCCATGTGTTCAGATCCCTCCTCTGACCCCATAGAATCCGGCCGCTGTCAAAAACAAGATAAATTATTTAACTTTGGCCTTACAAAGGTTGATTCGTTGTATAGTGTGATGCCAACGGTTCTGAGAAAAAAACACTGACCTATCATTCAAAAATTATGGTATGTACCGTAAATCTGGAAATTTTTACATCAATTTTATTTTGCGAATTCGAGTCAAAATGCTGTTGATTAATTTTTACGTTTCAAAATTTTGCGAATGACCACTGCTTTATTTACATTTTCTTATTGGGCCATACCAATTTGTAAAATAGTTCTTCGGATTTTCAAAAATAAAAAGTGAGGCGAGCGAGCGAATTTTTTTTATAAATATTATTTTTTATTTTGGGTTTCAAAATTATGAGGCGAGCGAATATAATTAATATTTTATATGTTTTAATTAAGTGTGATTTCAAAGAGCTTGAACCTAAAAAATTAAGATACTTGTATCATTTGCATACCACATGAACTTATCATTCTTAACTTTTTGGAGATTTTTTTTAATAACTAAAAATGTGTCAAATTTCAAAGACTTTACTTTCATAAATGTAATGTTTTCAAACATCTCCTCTGCTTCCATTTCTATTGCTGTGTATGAAACAACTTTGTACCCATTGTTTTTAACTATTATGAGTACACAGTGTTGTGCATGCAATTAAAAAAATCAAGTACTAGAAAGAAATTAATTGCTGATAAAAGTCAGGGTACTGAGGTCATTCTTTTTAAAATCAAAGTTTAAATTTTCAATATCAAATTCAGTCATGTTTAAATTTTTATGAAATAAAATTAAAAGGAACTTCAATAAATTATCTTCCTTTTCTCTGATCATTGCACTAGCTAGCTCGAATCATTTAGAATGAAATTAAATTCATTTTGTTTTCATCTTAAATCATTCAAAAAAGAAATATATTTTATGTGAGTCACAAAACACTTATCTTTCAGTTGATTGAGTGATCGTAAATAATTTAAAGATATAGCTGCATGTATTCCATAATCGGAGGAATAGAGGAAATTCGGATTAGGAAAAAACAATCGCTTTTGGAAGTAAATAAGTCAGGTAGTTCTGCAAACGGATAAGATTATGGAGATTTATTGACAGTAGGAGTATGTTGTCTGGAAAATATAAACTGGTTGGGAATTTTATAGCCAAAAACGAGTTAAAATACCGGTTGTGCTTTTCATGTATTGCGTGTATAGTTATATTTTTTACTAGCCCAACGGGCTACCTCCTTGTAGAAAACCACTATCCCGACCCCAAAAAATTGGGGATGCTAATTGCACACCCCTGGTACCTATGAACAGTTACAGACATGGCGCAAAACTTCACAAACTGCTTCAATCTCACTATAAATCCCGCGCATCTGTCATACATGTGTGTTTGTTGCAAAAAGTCGAGAAAAAAAATTGCAGTCAGATTTTTTTGGAAGCGCGCGCGGACATTTTTTTTTTAATATTATAATTTGCATTTGTAATAAATAGAAGCGGCGAATCCGACGAACTATATTAGAAATTGGTATGGCCTTGGTGATTTTTTTTTAAGAAAAATATTTTTGCAAATTCAGTGAACTCGCAAATTTGCTAAAAATTTATCTACAGCAAAAATTTCCAGATTTACGGTATGCTTTTAATTTCATGAACAAAGGATATTCCATAAAAAGTAATTTTCACACATAAAATTGATCTCTTTCTTCTTATGCCCACAGATTGTTGTTCTTGGGACTCAATGTATGCCCAGCACAAAAATTAAAATTCTATTGGTTTATCCCTGAGGGTCACTGATGATGGAGCTTCTATACATAATATGTTTTACAGCTCACATGTAAATGCCGTTACCTTAGTCTGGTCCCTCATGTTGTAAATCTCCAGGAGCTCTATCATCAGCTGGTTCTTAGTATTACATACTGACTTAATCTCATCATCCTTCCTGTGTAATTGTTCTACAAAAATCAAGGCACATTTATATGGAAATGTTTAAATGATGCAAACAGAAAAAGTGAATGGGAAAGTCTTCTTGAAGCCTTGATTATACCACTGATCTTTTATACCAATGAACTTGAGATTATTTGTGATTATGTTTAAGCAGATTAATGTCCCTTAACTATGTGGGAAAACTCAGAGTTACATCCCTTATCTACAATTTCTCTGATTTTGACACATTACGAGTTCCTTATCTATGATTTCCTTGATTATTGAGAGTTATGTCCCTTACCTATGATTTCCTTGATTACTGAAAGTTATGTCCCTTACCTATGATTTCCTTGATTACTGAGAGTTATGTCCCTTACCTATGATTTGCTTGATTACTGAGAGTTATGTCCCTTACCTATGATTTGCTTGATTATTGAGAGTTATGTCCCTTACCTATGATTTGCTTGATTACTAAGAGTTATGTCCCTTACCTATGATTTGCTTGATTACTGAGAGTTATGTCCCTTACCTATGATTTGCTTGATTATTGAGAGTTATGTCCCTTACCTATGATTTCCTTGATTATTGAGAGTTATGTCCCTTACCTATGATTTGCTTGATTACTGAAAGTTATGTCCCTTACCTATGATTTCCTTGATTACTGAGAGTTATGTCCCTTACCTATGATTTCCTTGATTACTGAGAGTTATGTCCCTTACCTATGATTTCCTTGATCTTCGCTGACCGAGCCTCCATTTGTCTTCTCTCTTCCTCGTCATCTTCCTGTTGTTCGTACTCGTCATCCGCCGGACATTTCTCTGATGCTGCCCGTATCTCTCGGATCCACGCCTCTCTTTCACTGTTTGTGTTACACACAATCTCGTACATTTCTGGGTTTTGCTTGTTCTGACTAATCAAGTAAATTCCCTTACTTTCTTTGGTGTCACTCTTCTCTCGGACCAGTAGCTCAAACAGGGGTATTGCACATGACTGTAAATAGAAACAAATGCTCAAATACACACATCCAGAATTAGAACCAAAGCAGCTCAAACACAATTATTTCACCAGACTATAAACAGAACTAGTTCAAATAGCTAAACAACATAAACACTTAAATATGTCAAAATAATGTTAGGGAAAATTAATATATTAAGGTCCTGAACCCTGCTGTAAAAAATACACTGTAGACTTACTTTATTGTCCTGAGAGAAGAATGTGTATTTGCCATTTTGTTCCTGCATGAAAAAGATGAGATCTGTCAAAACTACCATGACTGCTTCTGTAAAGGACATAAGACAATCACAAATTAATGCTGAATAAGAGATGGCTTGGGAGCACTCACATTGTTCTTAAAATTATTTCAAAGTTTATACCAAAATTTTATCCCTTTTCCCCCCAGTATGCTTCTTCTCAAATTTTATTCTTTTTTTCCAAGTATACTTCCAATGCTTTTAAAATATCAGTATCTTACCTGTAACTTTTCCTCGAGCACTTTTTAAACCAATTGTTCCTTCTTTCACAAGCTTACGCCCATGAGAAGATATGTCTGATTTCTACAAAATACAAATATTTGACAAATTTAATTAAATAACACACATTTACAACTTTGATTTTTCTTTGGAGTTTTCAGAGCAAGAAAAATTTCAGAAAATAATACTCCACAGAAAGAGCAAAGGAAAGACAGAGATCAGAAATATGGTTTTCTTGTTGTATCTTACCTTGAATTTCTTTCCTTTGTAGAAAGTGGTAGCTCTAGGATCGAATCCCTCGTAGATTTCCCGTAACCTCTGTATTCTCTCCTGTTCGTGGACTTGGTCGTCTACGCTCTGTAAGATCTCCTTACTGAGCTGTAACGACCGACTGATGTTCTGTCTCTCCTCCTTCACTGTAAAATAGAAATCAAATCTGTTAAATATCAAGTGCAACTCCCTTTATGCATCAACCTTGCAAGTTTGATCATGATAATAGTTTCTATCTGGGACAGATAGGTCATATGCAGTATGCAGCAATTTAGAAGTTATAGTATGTGAAGTCCTAGATGCATTATCCATAACATTAGGATATATACATGTAATTAATTGGGTATAGATCTCCTCCTATAATTTAACATTTGTACTTGTCTAGCATAATCTACTAGCTCAACTGTGTCCTTTAGTCTACCAAGTTGTTAACCTAAACTCCCTGATAAATTTCACCTGTAATTTTATTTTCCCTAGAAGTCCCTTTGCTTACCTGTAGTTCTTTTGATTAACGTGTCGAGCAGTCCCAGGTACTTGGAGAGTCTCTGTGTGACTAGAAGAACAAAATCAGGTATCTCTCTCTTTTGTAGTAAAGGGTCATTATTGCACTTCTGTAAATACAGCAGATGACAGGGATACAACACAAATGGTTTCATCATTGAAGTATAAACCAGTCCTAATGACAGAGAGCCTATTAAAGCATGCCAGGGAAGAATTCCAATCTGTAAATAGCCTACCTTGATAAAATTAAGGAATTTTCTGTCTTTTATTAGGAGGTCTTTGTAAAAAAGAACCGAGTCTTTGTGCCCACAGCAAAATGCTCCATAGGCACACTTCATCTTCTCTGCTGATTCTCCAGAAAACTAAAAATTATCAAATATAAAACTTTTCAAAACTGAAATGTGACATCATTGATGCTTTGGAATGGTGATAAAGTCATGGCAATAAAAATTTAACAATATATTTCTGACAGCAATGAAAATTTAATTAACCCCCCAAATTTAGTTATTTTCAGTGATTAAATACCCACATGATGACTTACATGGTTGAGAAGCGTGTCACCAATCTTCTCTACAGATCGATCTGGATGACGTTTCTGTAATTCCTGAAGATTCCTCAGAAACCCCATGTGGACTTCGATCAGTTCATCCAACTTTGGGAAGAGCCTATCAACAACTGCTTTTGGCATATGGAGATCATGCAGGATTCCCTGGGCATACACCTGTAACAACACAACAACAGATCTAAATCTAGACCCTATTAATTCTCAATCATTTAAGTATCAAATCTGATATACCTGGTAATTAAAATTTAGATTTTTTTAATGCTTTATCAAACAGATTTTTAAAAAAATTCCAAGAAAAACAAAGAACTATAGATTTTTTAAAAATTCTGATTTCAATAAATTATATGAGAAATATAAATTAAAGAAAAAAATTAAGTTTACAAGGAAGACATTTTATTCATTAATGACAAAATTTCAACAATTTTAGCTTTTAAATTTATACCCTTTGTAGAATTTTTAATGTTCTACAGTGGTGTCTCTCTGTCTGGATAAGTTCTGTACAAAACAATACAGTGCGTAAAAATGTCTCATTTCATAGTGAATACAATGCAATCAATTTCAATTCTTAAGACATTATACTTGAGTTTTATGACATACTACTTTGTTAAAAATCTTGGCCATTATTTACCGGCCATTTTTTCTGTACTGTGTCTTGTCTTTTTAATTTCATTGTGAGTTGAAATGTTTCCTTTTCTGTAGGATGAAAAAAAATTAAATTGACACATATATATGTCAACATCTTGACAAACAACATAATACATCTTAACAAAAAACATAAATATACAAATATGTTATTATAGTTCTTTAATGAAGACAATTACTGATTTTTTATTTCTCTGTAGAACCTACAGTGGTGTCTTTCTGGATAAGTTCTGTATTAAACAATACAGTGTGTTAGTGTTTCATTTCATAGTGTATACAATGCAATCAATTTCAATTCTAAAGACACTATACTGTATAGGGGATTAATTTCACGGGTTGTAATTTTCATGTTTTTCTCTCATCTGACACGATCACAGTTTCTTGAATCGCGGAATGGGATAAAAGTTACTTCCCTTGTCTGCATTTAATCCAACATAGCTACATGTGAACGACAGCGTTATGTCTTTATTTCACAAAAAATGTTTTTATAAAATAGGTAGATTTCATAAATACATGATAAATTAACACAAAGTTATTGATATCTAAACGTTAAATGACTTTCCTTGATATTACGATGAGTGCATGTGCACCCAGATCTTATACAACGCGGCGAAAAAATGGACGGAAATAAAACTTTTTATGTAGTTTTAAACTCCACACTTCCTTGTCAGTAAGTTCGATATTTGAATGATTTTTTAAAACCAAAATGTCGATAAAAACTACATGAACAATTTGAGAATCAGGTAAATTTAAGTAATCAAAACCCATGACCTACGTGTTTTGATTGATGAAACATCAGCTTTGGCTATTAAACAGCTTTTGAACAAACACAAATTATTTTTTGATTTGAATTAAAGTAAAGCGTGATAATTAAAATATTTACTACTCTAATTACTGAAATGACCAGACTAGATTTATATTCTATCGTGATCTATTCTCAAATTTCCAAATAAAACATATAGATTATTGAAGATTTATTCACTGTTTCTTGAATTCACGGATTTGTTAACACCGTGAATATAGCTAATATTAACACCGCGAGTTATTTTCCCCCTATACAGTATTTGAGTTTTAACATATGTTTTACAAATCAGGTTATTTACCCCATACTGTGTCTTGTCTTTTAATTTCTTGTGAGTTGAAATGTTTCCTTTTCTGTAGGATGAAAAAAAAAATTGTCACATATATATATCAACATCTTGACAAACAACATTATAGAGAAGCATGGTTTCGTCAGTCTCTGGTTCCATTAAGTAACTCCTCACAAATACCTCTAATACAGCTGTTAATCAAAAAATGTTACGATGCTTATATCAAAAATATCTATTTACCTTTATTTCCCTTTCCTTGTATTTTAGGAAAAAGTTTTAAACTAACTTTGCGAACCATTCTAAAAGACATTTTAATTTACGATTTAAGTATATATACATCAATGTTGTCAATTGAATTAGTGCAGTTATTTTGGATCATGAACATTCACTTATATGGATATAACGAATTACAGATATAACGAAGTGATTTTATAGGTCCATGTGACTTCATTATAACCAAGTTTTACTGTAGTATTTTTTTAATTGCATTCAATCTTTATTGTTTATATAAATGCATATTTCTTAAAAGTATTTTTTTGAAAATTTAAATCCTTTGTGCTTTTTAGCAAGCTTTCCAGTGAGTTGGAGTTTGCACTAGATAACCTACAAAGAGAAGCAGTCAGCCATTAAGTAACCACAAATATGTGAACACGTTCACCACTCTGTAATAGGGAGAATTTGTCTACTACAGCTACTTAACATCAATGTTGTCAATGAATTGTGCAATATCTGAACATTCACTTAAAACCATGAATGGGAGGTGCCTTTGAAAAAAAAGAAAATAAATAAAAATGCACTCAAATCAAAATGGAGATATATTTAAAATAAAAGGAGTATACATTATTTTCTTAATGACGCCATATGTAGATTCACAAACATCGTAAATTTCAGTTTTTTATGAATTTTACAGAAAAATGTACATATTTCGTCGATATTTTGAGTAAAAGTCAAGGCATGTGTGAAAAATTTTGTACTGTAAATAATGTGTAGAATTAATATCAATGAAATATGTCAATAGAACAAACTTGCGCTCTATAAATTTTAAAGCTAAAATTGTTGAAATTTTGATTTTTCAACAAGATATGAAAGGACTAGTTTTTCATAAAATCAAAAATTGTGAATACACTGCATTGTCTATAATAATCTTTTTCATGCAATATTGTGCCAGTCATTTCAAAAGCGGCAATATGCATATAGTTCTTTCATTCTAAAAAAGTCTTCAAAGAAAATTTAAAATGCTTTTTAGCAGCAGAATAGTAAATTAAGGCTTTTTTGTCCTAATCTTTATGAAAAAAAGAATACACAGCCAAATGTAATACATTTACAGTACACTGGCATTTAATGGGATCTTACCTCTGTTTTAGTCTATGGTAGAGTTCACCTATAACCTTGTTATAGCTACTATCATACTTAAATGTCTCACTCCTCCAACAGAAGGGGCACTATGCTGCATAGTCCAGTAATTCACTTTCATTTCAAACAAGTAAAGATATACAAGTTCCGCTTTAGACTACGTATTCCAAACAAATGCACAATAAAGGTGAAAGCAAGATGATACAAAGAGAAGACCACCCCAGACCAAACAAATCATTTTTAGTGTATTTCAACAAATCCAGATGAAATCAACATTGTAACTGTAAACAAACCATCACATACTGACTATATTAGGGGTACTTGAGGCTTTGGTCAAAATGGGAGTGATTCATACAATACATATTATTGTACAAGGGTCTATAAATATCCAAACTCCTCACGCCAGCTAAGTGGCAGCTTAATGTATCCCACGATGCTCAGGGACACCGCAGCTCATACTCATCCGACTGGTAGAGATTCGAAAGGAAATTTATGATTTATATTCTTATAAAAATCATGATGGTTTTATTTGAGGGTTTTATTTGACAAGAGGCCCATGGGCCACATCGCTCACCTGAGAAGCTTTGACCATTCTGTTCTTTACCAGATTTCCCCCTTGTAATACATTATGTATCCCCACCCTACCCCACTGATCATAATTAAGACATTTTGAAATCAACTACCCCAGGATCCTTCCATGTGCAAATAAGTTTCAGCTTTTCTGGCCCAGTGGTTCTTGAGAAGAAGATTTTCAAAGATTTTTCCTATATATTTTTATGTAAAACTTTGATCCCCCCATTGTGGCTCCACCCTTCCCCTGGGGGTCATGATTTGAACAATATAAAATCTACATTACCCAAGAATGCTTCCACATAAGTTTCAACTTTTCTGGCCCGGTGGTTCTTGAGAAGAAGATTTTCAAAGATTTTTCCAATATATTTCTATGTAAAACTTTGATTACCAATTGTGGCCCCACCCTTCCCCCCGGGGTCATGATTTCATTTAGCATCTACACTATACCAGGATGCTTCCACCTAAGTTTCAGCTTTTCTGGCCCAGTGGTTCTTGAGAAGAAGATTTTCAAAGATTTTTCCTATATATTTCTATGTAAAACTTTGATTCCCCATTGTGGCCTGCTGTTCCCCGGGGGTCATGATTTGAACAATTAAGAATCTACACTACCCAAGAATGCTTCCACATAAGTTTCAACTTTTCTGGCCCAGTGGTTCTTGAGAAGAAGATTTTCAAAGATTTTTCCTATATATTTCTATGTAAAACTTTGATTCCCCATTGTGGCCCCGCCCTTCCCCCGGGGGTCATGATTTGAACAATTTAATATCTACACTACCCTAGGATGCTTTCACATAAGTTTCAGCTTTTCTGGCCCAGTGGTTCTTGAGAAGATTTTTTAATGACCCCACCCTATTTTTGTCTTTTCTTGATTATCTCCCCTTGCGAATGTCCCTTCATTTTAACAATTTAATTCCCCTTCACCCAAGGAAAAAAAATTGGCCCAGTGGTTTTGAGAAGAAGTTGAAAATGTGAAAAGTTTCAATTACGGACAGCTAGACAGACAGACAGACGGACGCCGGACAAAATGTGATCAGAAAAGCTCACTTGAGCCTTCAGCTCAGGTGAGCTAAAAATTACAAAACAAACATATCAATCAGTAATGGGGAATATCTAATAACTAGAGTTGATCCCATTTTGACTTTCAAGTTGACTCTGTGAAATGAATGTAAAGATAATATTCTTTACTATTTCATAAAACTACCCTGATACTTTTTAATGAGTTTACCAACTCAAACATTTCACCAAAAAGTGAACCAATTACGAAAGAATGATACTTTTATTTCCCTTGTTTATAAAACTTCTTATCAAATGATAAAAATGGATGAGAAATACTTGAATTATTTATAAAATATAGGACAGTTTTAAGGACAGACGAGACGTTCCTTAATAATAGATAAATTTTTCTAAGAGTTTGTCATTGAAGTATTGCTACTTCAACATGTTTACTCACAAAAAATTGAGGTACCTTACCAGGCATTTCTCTCCATGGTAGATTTTCTTATATAATCCTTTGGGGAAGAAAAATAATTTTCCAATTTCAAATGTTTAAGTGTTTGGATTTTTTAAAAACGTTTCACTTTAGAAATCAGAATATTATTAAAATTTTGAATTAATGACAAAACATCATGAAATTCAACTTCCATGTATCAGTATCAGCTGAATAATGTTTCACTTTAATTCCACTTAGAAAACTAAATAAACACTTAGGGAAAGTTATTTTTGACAGATAATTATAATGTGTAATACTAATGCATCACAAAGCTATGGACTTCTCTCCATATAAGAAGCAGTCACTGAATCATATTTTTGGGGTTTCCCAAACAGCTGGTAGGGCGGTAAGATCTGTGGAGTAAGTCAAATGAATGGAGAAATCACAGCTTGTCACCAGATATGACAGAAATGTAGATCGCCTGATCTTACGGACACTGGATGAATTGTATGAACCTCGTACTCCCAAATGCTGCTCTTCAAATTCATAAAATGCAATGCCAAATGTGTCATTCAGTCCAATACGTCTTTATAAGACCACTCTGGACAACTGTGACCATTATGGAAAGACAGTACAAATGCTTAACTCCACTATGAGCACAATGTTTTCAGGACAGAGTCAGGTATAAATAGTGTAAAACTCATATAAAGAATGTTATTTGTCTGGTCTACTAATTCTCTAATTTAGAAACTCCAATGGATTATCACGCTTAACTGTAACTTTATTCCCAGGGAGCCAAGAGGAGGTTAGTAGGGACTTACCCAATCTGACCTAGGGTCCTGCCCTGGTCCCTGTCTTTGTGATTTAATGAGAGGAGGTGTGTAGTATGGACTTACCCAATCTGAATGAGGTCCTGCCCTGGTCTTTAGGTGATTTTGTGAGCAGAGGAGTGTAGGACAGACTTACCATATTTGACCGAGGCCCCCGTGCTTTAATGAGAGGAGTGTAGTACAGACTTACCCTATTTGACCTAGGTCCTGCCCTGGTCCTTGTCTATCCTGGTCAGTCTCTTCATGAATTGCTTTGCTACAACAACAGGTGGCCAACTTAAAGGTCACATCAAATTAAAATAATACACATATTGAAAGAATTTAAAAAGAAAAAAAAATCATGCAAATGAAATATACATCCAAAACCAAATATGTTTAAAAAAAAAAAAACATGCCAAAATCCTCGTGCAACATTAATATATTAGTAAAATATATGAAGCAAAATGAAATGAACAAAAAAATTAAAAGTTTAAAAATGAAATTTTTCAGAACTTAATAATGTCAGCTGTTGGCTTAGCATGGTAATAGGATTTCACCAAGATTGAGCCTTTGGTCAAATTCAGCAGGATTGAAGCTAACAGTTAAAGCTGAGCTAGACTTACTCAATGCCCATAAGCTTCTCCCTGGCGCGGCGCCAGTGCTGATAGCCAGGTCTCTGGTATTGTGGTGATACTGAATAACTGTTGAGATAATAGAGTCTATGTAATAGTATTACATGCAATAAGATTATCTGAGAGAATACAGACTCAGGCTTTGGTTTATAGGACAAGCAGATGCTCGATGTGCAACCTCTGGGATCTAACATGTACCCTGTTTATCTTTTTTTTGCATGTAGTATCACAGGACTAAAAACATAACTTAGAAAAAAAAAGATAGTGATTAAATAAAAATTCTTGAAAAAAAGGAGGTGCATCAAATAATTTTAACAGTAGGAAATTTCACACGAAAAAAAATTCATGCACTGATAGATTCCTGCCACTGATTTTCAATACATGGTTGCCCAATCAGTCTACCTACAATCTATACAATTTGTGTTCATCTCAGATGACTGACCCAGGAGAACATAGCCCACCCCGTCTGATGGAGTGTTTACAAATAAAACAGAGAATTGTTCTTCATTGATTTTTATCCATTAAATGGAATGAATAAAGCTATGATGATAATCTGGAATTAATGCTGTATTGTTAGTAGATACAATGCACCCGTGCAATTCCAAATCTCCTTTGTGTAGATGTATACAAGAATAAATGCACTGTATAAACATGATAAAAATGTGTCTCTAGTTAACATGGTTTATAATGCTTCAAATTTTGTAGATAGCTTAAAGCAGATTCTATAAAATCTCACATACATTCAAAATTTGTTTATAAATGATAAATGGAATTCAAGCTTATCTCATTAGGAGGCATTACAGAAGATAGGCAAAAAATATTAACGAATCTAACAAAATATGTAACACTATAATAATCTTTAGGTGACAACCACACAATATTTGCAAAATTCAAAAAGTACGTAAGGGTTGCCCGCAACCCTGTGTCTCGCCTGCTGTCGCTGTGGTTAGTAAGAAATGATTGTCTGATAAACTGAAGCATTTATTGACATTTCAGAAGGAATAACTCAAAAAGTGGATCGAGTCATTTTGCTGGTTTTTAAAGAGATATTGTCATGGACTTAATAAGAACTGTAAAACGTTTCTATCTGGACTGACTATAGGTATATTTTATATGGATTTAATATATAACTTTTGCATACTGATGAACACAACATTTTCCTCTAGTCAATGTGTAATGCACTGCATATGCCAACTGGTTAGGTAGGATCCAAATGCATCATGTAGGTTAAATATCTTCTGTACAGTTTAAAATTTCCATATTTCATATTATTCACAAGAGTAGGTAGGATCCAAATGCATCATGTAGGTTAAATATCTTCTGTACAGTTTAAAATTTCCATATTTCATATTATTCACAAGAGATAGATTGTTTTTTGTCCACTTTAAGTTTCTCCGAATAACTGCTGGAAATACTATGTACACTTTAAAAAACTGTATCATATGTTTGTGTTAGTAGTTCATAGCAAACCACAATGGTTTACAAACGTGTTATGAGTCGCAATAATTTGAACTTGCATTTTGAAATCAAATCCACTGTATATGTATCAAGTCATTCATGCAGAAAATGTAGGTGAAGATTACCTAATTATGGTACTGATATTGTTGGTTACCTATGATGTGTAGACTGACAAATTATCATGCCACTATAAGTTATAGTTGCTGAGATATGGACATCCACCATAAATTTATGCAAAGTCACTCATTCAAGATGACCTAATTCTGTAGGCGTTTGTGGTTACCCATGATGTATCCAACTAACTATCATGCCACTATAAGTTATAGTTGCTGAAATATGAACCTCCATTATCAATTTAACCAAAGTCATTCATGCAGAAAAATGTAGGTCAAAATGACCTAATTCTGGTACTGATGTTTGTGGTTACCCATGATGTATCCACTGACAAAATATCATGCCACTATAAGTTATAGTTGCTTATGAACCTCCATTATCAATTTAACCAAAGTCATTCATGCAGAAAAATGTAGGTCAAAATGACCTAATTCTGGTACTGATGTTTGTGGTTACCCATGATGTATCCACTGACTAACTATCATGCCACTATAAGTTATAGTTGCTGAAATATGAACCTCCATTATCAATTTAACCAAAGTCATTCATGCAGAAAAATGTAGGTCAAAATGACCTAATTCTGGTACTGATGTTGTTGGTTACTTATAACCTGTACAATGACAAATCATCATGCCATTATAAGTTATAGATGCTGAGATATGGACCTCCACCAAAAATTTAACCAAAGTCACTCATGCAGAAAAATGTAGGTCAAGATGACCTAACGTTTGTGGTTAATATGTATCCACTGACTAAATCATATCCCTATAAAAGTTATGAATATACACATAAATTATCATGAAAAAATAATCTTTAGGAAAAATTTGAATTTTTTTTTTCAAAATCATACATTTTTATCCACTGAATATTGTGTCCAAATTTCAAGAAGACTGAATAAAATTTGAGAAAGTTATTGCAGTTTATAAAACTTTGACATTTGTGGACGCCGACGACGACGACGACGACGACGGAATCTATGGTCGCTATGTCTCGCTTCGCGACATTCGTCGCAGGCGAGACAAAAAGCATGTGCACCATGTTATCAAAATATCAGTAATAGCCTAAACATTTAAGCAGTGTGACCATGACCTGTTGCATATTCTACCTTGCATTTGGTAAACTTCTTCTGTGAAGAGCTGCATGATGTCTGTCTCCCTATAATAATATACCAATGTGTTCATTATTTTACATTCTGCATGCATATACTCACACAATCATAACATTATTAAAGAATTTGACTCAGGAATGTTTATATTTGTCACCTGCAACTTTTAAAATTTTGTTTAAATATTCATTTCCATATTCAAAATTAAGAATATTTCAATCATCATTTTAATATTCATTTTTCAACTTGAACAATTTTCAACATATGAAGAGGAAATAATAAGAATAATAATAACGATTGATTGACTGATTGTTTGTGGAAGATACTGTTAACTTTTTTATGTTTGTAGGTTGACAATAACAATGACAGTCTGACAACAGCTTAAACAAAGACACAGATTTACTGACATAGAGATTTTATTTCTGGATCAGCAAGTAGACAGTGAGTTAAAGCTAACAAGCTACTGGCCTAGAAGTTACAGGGAGGTTAAAAAGTAGGAGAAAACAGAGGACAAAGAGTTAACAAATAGAGCTAAATTGATATTCAATTTCAAGTTGAGTAAATTTTAAGACAAGACACTGCCTGTTGAATGGAAACTTGTCAGTTAGTTGTCTTACAGAGTAGAGACATTAGTGTTAGACTGTAACAAATGGAAGGATGCTAAGTTTGTACCAATGTTAAGGGCTTTTGGCAATATATTAGAGACTTGAAATGATTATAAAGTACATACTAATAAAAATTATTTTAAGTCTTACCATACATCAATATTTGGAAAATAAAAACTCTTTCCAAGATTTTATTTAATTATAAAGGCATAAGTACAAGATTTGAGATGAAAAAAAAATAATATGATGAAATATATATCTATGTAGTTATATTTATACAAGTATAATGATAAATAAGAGAGCACCACACATGCAGTTCTGAAGCAATTTTATAATAACCCTCATCCCATTATTTTTCAACATTTTTGTTAAATTTTGTTGACTTAAGGTCTGGAAAGAAATAACACTTTTTTAAATAAAGATATTTGAAGAGTATACTCCCTTTACAGACTACTACAAAACCAATTATTAATATTTACAAGCAGACAGTCTCGCCTAATAATTTTGAAATATATCAAGTTATCGTAAATAAAAAGATTATCAGTAATAGCTTGTGTGTGAGCTCCTGTTCTGCTGTATATGTGGTGGGAGTTAGTGAGGACTACGAGAGGACAGGCATGCATACCTGGTTTTCGTCAGGTTCAGAAGAGTCAGGTATAGCGGACAGAGAGACACCTGCCGGTGAGGAGGTTACCTGATTCCTCAGTGGGACCCCCGCTGAAGGACTCCGCTCCTTAAAGGACTGGGTGGGTCGCAGACCCGAGTACGCAGCTACAATAGACAAATAGCAGAATATTAGTATAAAGTGTATAACTGAGGGAGGTAGAGCAGCTACAATAAACAAATAGCAGCATACAAATATACAGACAAATTGTTTAATTGAGGGAGGTAGACTCGAGTACGCAGCTACAATAAACAAATACATGTAGCAGCTAAATAGTTAGGATATGACTAGTCTTAACCTATTTTTGCCCATTCCTTGTCATTTCACTCTCTCACGTTAAGCTTCTTAATTTACTTGTATATTTCTTATAAATAAAATCAACTACCATTATTATTTAAAGTGGGATACCTTAAACAAATTGTTAAAATACAATTCACATTCTCAGAAAATATTTATATCAAAAACATCAGGAATATTCTGATTAAATGCAAATGCATCTGCCAGGCAAGAAATGTTATCAAAAGATTTAATATTTGTATTCGGAAGATAAAATAACTTTTTGAACAGATTTTTTTTTCTAGCTGTTGACTCCAGGAAACATTTGTTTGAACAGTAGTAACATCTGACGACCCTCATTGAAAATAAAACATATAAAGAACATGAAATACGAGCATTTAATCAATAAGAGATTAAAAGATTAAAAGGCAGAATACTGTGCGCTAGTTACAAGGTCATGTTGTGACTGATGTATCGGAACTAAAAAACTAGAGGTCGCTAAAAACTGGTCCACTTCTCACAAAGCTTATAAGACGGAATCAAAAAGCTAAATATATCCACTTTGGTCATTTGTTCTGAACGTTCATCAGGATTTTATTAATATTCCTGAGAAAAAAATATTAAGATTTTTACTGTCCTTGTTGACTCATAAAAATTGAAGTGCCTCTTTTTCTCAGGTTATCAACCAAGGGTTGTTGAGAAAACTTGACTTGAATCACATGATCTAGAGGATGGGAATACAAAGGCAGACTCCCCCTGGTATATCAAGATTATACAAGCTTCTTATTTATGCAGGAACATGTTCATACAACTACAGAAACATAAAACTGGTCAAGTTTAAAATCTTGACAACTTCAAGGTTGGAGATAACGGAACAGCTATTTACTACTGGCTCTAATTGGCTATTAATGTACCCCCCATATCTTGGTATGATGGGCCTGAGAATGCAGGAAGATTTACAACGATAACTTTTGAAAGTCTGTATGAAGTAGAACTTTGCAAGGTGATAAAGACTATGGTAATAAAATCATCTCAAAAGATTAATAATGAAGTGAAGGAAGTACATATGTAGTAGACATTAATACTTATAGCATACTAGTATCTCATTGTTAATTGCTTTCACTTAAATTCAATGTTGATTTAGAGTTTATAATAAAGTCCATCGTTAAAATACAAAGGACACTTTGTAAACATGCTGGAAATCCTTAGGAGATCAGTTTGACGATATGAAGGGTGCAGCATGAGTGTGCATACTACCACAGGGCTATAACAAACTAGATTTGACAGCTGCACAAACAAGCTGAGGTTGTGAAGGGTACTGAAGATTCCTGTCGTCTATTCACATACAGCAGAAGATACCTGTTGTCTGCACAAAAACAGCAGCAGAAACATATCGTCTGCACATATACAGCAGAAGATATCTGTCCTCTGCATTGGTACAGTAGTAGAAGAAACCTGTTATCTGCTCATATACAGCAGATAATGTGGTAAACTTTGAGCTACCTGTACATCAGAACAGCAGAAGATACCTGTTCACTTATAACTACAGAAGATGAAGCTACTACCTGTTGTCTACACACTGGTTGAGATCAGCACTAGAGCTGATCCAGTCTGTCACATGATACAGACCACAATGCTCTGACAGACCATCATTAATGTTAAACAGACTGTTATTTAGAAATACAATTTAGAGAAATGGTACTAAATAATAATAAAATGACTATTCTAATTAATTTCTGTCACTTTCTCCCACTTATAATTCCGACCTGTGTGTGACCTGTGTAACTGAGAATTTACAATGACTTCATCAGAGTATTGTTGAAAACTCGGAAAAAGACAAACAACTATTCATCAAGTAAATCAATCCACAGTTAGGAATTGATTTCCAATAATCCCGACCTTTAAACAGTAAAGAATAAAAAAACTCTCTCTAGTTTAGCTGAAGGACAAAAGAAATGTCAAAGGATCAATACTTTGTACCTTTTGAAGTTAAAATGGCTCTGTAACAGATGGGATAAAAATCTCGAGATAAACTTTTAAAAGGAATTTGCTTTACTTATTCAAGCATTGGATCTATATATGATAAGTAGCCCTCCTCTATCACTACCAGCTTCTATTTCATGACTTTTGTGTCCCTGAAGAACTTGTTGACAAAAAACAATGATTCTTTTGTTTACAGTAAATTCTTTCTGGTTGGAAAATGAGATTTAAAATAAGCTGTTTTGCACATTACTTCTGCTAATTGCATCTATAACCACAGAAAATCAATATTCAGATGGATTTTCCTTCTCTTTCGTTATTTTAGTTGTTTCAAATTCTCTTGTAAGTTAAGTAAAATTCAGCTAATAAATAATGGATGATTTTTTCCTCTAGCACAAAACTAAGAAGTTGGAGACATCACAAAAACAAATAATGTTCCTGTCTGCTTCATTGTTTTATCACAATAACATGACCTACATTCTAACAACATTAATTCCTAAAACAAAGTGTGGAGTAAAATTTTTGCATCTAAATCCAACAAATGCTTAAACACAGTGCCAACACAAAATACACACTTCAGTTGAAGTGGATAGTAATAAAACAACAGAGAGAACAGAAAACAGTTTGTCGTGGTAAAGAGGTGTCGATCATCATATCCCAAGGCAATGAAATGTACAGAGTTACTTATAGATATGACGTTAATCTGACAATCCCGAGGTTCCGTGACCCCAGGGGTCAGGCTACTTACCCTCGTTTGTCCCCTCAGTGGGGTACATTTGTTCCGTGATGACACCCGTTATAACCACACTATATTTCCTTCTGATTTACACACTGATGAATTCAGCTGTCTGTGACCTTCACATTCATACTACACACAAAGCCGGGCACCTTAACAATTTCATCTTAGACTAAAATGTTCCTGACCATACAACCCCAGACCAACTTATTACCATTTAGCAAGAATTTTCACACAGATTTCCAGAGAAAAGGACCATTGCAATAAAAAAAATAATTCTACAGGTGTATGGTAAACAAATTATAGAAATAAGGTGAAAAAATTTACATTATTTGTCATTATCTACATAAACAATGCTCCGGGATATTATTGCTCAGATACCAGATACAGAAGTTTACCTAGTCTAGGATAGGAATACACAAATAACTTATTAATTTTACATGTAATACATAAATTATGTATTCTAAGTAACACATTTATGGTGCCATACACACACCACACAGAAAAACATCGAGTTCACAGATTTTAGAATGGATAAGCACATGTTCCTGAAAAAAGGCTATAAGAAAGCAAGTAGCATAAAATTCTGACCCAGCAGATATGACGAGCAGAAACGAAAACCTAACGATTGTTGTAACGAACTTTTTAATTCCTCATATGTCCTAATAAAAAATGTACAATATCTCTCTTATTATAATTTTCTTTCATTATTGTATAATGGACCTATGAAACTGTAAGATTAGATGTATTATATTTATTAAGAACAAATAATATACAATTTATGTGTTTTTACCACAATTATCTCTGTCAAATACTGACCATGTTCAACTCTAGGACCGAAACAGTCTGGGACTCAATCTGTGTGTCTACCTAAGTGACATTATACGGGCCTGTCTTAGTGGATAACAATGACTCATTTACTAAGTGCCAATATACAGTGTAAATATCATTTAATTTTATACTGAGCTTTGTCACCACAGTAAGCAGCTTGTTGTTAATTAAGGTCTTTAAAAAGAGTGGACACTGACCAAGTTATTTTTACAAAGGACCCAGGCCTGGACAGGGCTAACTGAGTGCAGCAACCTGCAGCGAGCCTTATATATAAATGTGGGCGTCTGAAATCAGATACTTAACTGCTCCTAATCTCACTGCACTATTTAAACTTTACAGACTATCCATGCAAGAAACAATTAAAAATTCTTTTGAGACTGTAATTAATCATTTCTTACTAATCTAGTAAGCTCATGAATATGGAAAAACTTTTATTTTATCATCCAGGGACTGGGCATGCATTAAAAATTCATCATTTCAGTACAACAGTAATGCAGGGTCCAATCATTTATGTTTACATTTTTGTCTACCCTTGTTATCACTCAAATTCCAAACTCAGCTTTCATTCTCTGCATATTTGTGTCAGTTGTATATGACACTTGTGTTTACCTTGCGTTAATTGTGTCACACAACCTTAAAAGAGATTTAGAATAGTAAGCCTATATAGACTAGGATTTTTTTTGCAGTCAGAAATTTACTATCATTTTCTGCATATTTCAGTCTCCCTTTAATCCCTAACCTTTTATAATCTTCTGTTGATCTGTATATGTCTGTTGAAAGGAGTGGTGTCACCTGTACCCAGGTATGTAAAGGTGTACATAATATAAAGGTGGGCTCAGATGTCATATAGGTATCAGATAGCTCCTCCTTGTATAAACAAATCATATTTAGGTCATAAATCAACCCCAAAAACACCACTTCAGGAATAAGATATAAACTAGCATAAATATAGTTAATGGTTGTTAATTCATTGTTAATGTGACCAGAAAAACCAAAAAATAACTCCCCAATGAATATAAAACACATCATCAAAATATAAATAGAATTCATAAAGGAGTTATACAGCAAACCAACATGTGCAGAAAACAATTAAAGTATATAATCCAGTGTAACTGATGTGGCTAACAAAAACCATAGATTAACCAAAGTAATGACAGAGTAAGGGAAGATTTCTGACTAGAATTGTTAGATTAATCATTTTAATGACAGAGTAAGGGAAGATTTCTGACTAGAATTGTTAGATATGTCCTACAGATTCCAGCTTTAGCTTTTACACTGCCCAATGGGAGGTGCTATAGATACCAAAGAATTTTCTTTCCTCCCCAGAAATCTAAATTAACCTCCCATTATTAGCTATAATTCAGAAGTCTGACACAGTGGAATGATTGGTATTTCTTTCATTGATAAAGTACACATACATATACCTGTATACTTATTTAGAATTTATACAACAGCTAGGTGTCAAAAGTCTGCAATGTAAGCAATTCAAGGATGCAAGTATTAAGGATGTATGGTGAACTGAACCATAAAAAAGAAGTTGATATTGGTTTCTTTCACTCTTTCTTTTTGATTTACGAATTATAAAAAAAATCCCAATTTTGTGCTATACCAGAGAAAGAACAGATATCAATTCACTTAAAAGACCATAAATACAATATCAAGATCAGAAATATGCAATAAAGCAACATCTGTCCAGAGAATTAACACTTAAATAATATCTTGTATGACAGATCTCAGAATTGCAACATTAGGATCAGGCTGTACATATCTTACAATATCAACAACTGAAGCATTCTCCTAAAATGGTAGCATCTATTTTTTTTGGTCTGTAGTAAAATAATGTCATATCATATAGGGCACTATGAGATGCTGGTCATGATTCAAATATCACTGAAACCCATTCGGACTATGTAGTTACATGAGACAAGCTGCAAAAGAACTGTGCTTATGGAAACAGTATACACACTTTACTAACATTGGGTATTATTCAGAAAAATGTCACAGTAAGGATGATACCTCTAACATGATTACAAAAATGCAGGGAGATAACTCTAAAGTGAAACTCGTTTTCCTACATTATTTATGTCCCTTTGTGTCCCTGTCAATGACATAGATTGACATGACTTTTCAGGAGTCAGGAGGAGATAACTGTGTATATACTTACTACCAGTACAGTACTGCAGTAGTGAGCTGTTGGTTTGTCATTGACACAGCCTGACATGACTTTTCTCTGACTTTCAGGAGGAGATAACTGTATTTATTATATGATTGAATAATTTCCATCTCTCTGATTGGCTGAGATCCAACTATGTTAGAAAAATATTACGTTGTATTGACCTGCACGTGACGTTCCAGGTCAATACAAGGATTTATTTCCTCTACATTGATCTAAAAATAGATTGGACATTGATCTAAAAATAGATTGGGAAATTCCAAATTGATACAAATTGTTTTAGAAAGCTATTTAAACGACTATGATTTTTATTTTCATGTGAACAAAACATAGGCAAATATATATTTTAGGTGCGGGTGGTAAGAGGGGATGCAGAGACCCCCCCCCCTTCCAACACTTTTACTGAACAACAATTTTTGTTTTACTTTTTGGCAGTCAGTTTTCCCTGATAATACTCCTTTCTTTCAAAATATATCCTATAAAAAAGACTGACATTGTATATTTCATTCATGGCTGCTAAAATTGATTTAAAAAAAAAAATCAAATTGATACGACTGGTAAGGTTTATTAACATTTTAATTCTGCTACTCTCTTGTATTTGGCTAGGACTTTATAAAATGCAAACAAGTAATGAGCTGTATCATTTTATCAGTGAATCATATAATAAAACAATTATTGCTGTTTTTTCGGTCAATACAATGATTTAGCCATCTTCGAAGTACAATATTCACCTCGCCCTTCGGGCTCGGTGAATATTGTACTCCTCAGATGGCTAAATCATTGTATTGACCTCAAAAACCAGCAATAATTGTATAATATATACTTACTACCAGTTGTGAGTTGTTTATCCTGAGTGTGGAGGTTTGTCATTGATCCAGTTTCTGGGCCTCGCTGAGGAACCTACAATCAATAGAGAGGGTTAACAAATTACACACATTACTGTCTCAAAAGGCTTAAAAACAGTCAAAATAATTAACATCCCTGAGATTATTTATTGAAGTTCAATTAAGACAATTTTAAAATCATATACTGTATATTTCTTATTTTTCGCGACTATTTATAATCGCAAATGGGCTCTTCACTGTCAAATCCTGAGAATAATAAATTGTGAATGGACGGCTGACCAAGAGATTTTACATAGATTTTACACCATAAAAATAAAGGCGAGTAATCTTATTTCACATGTGGTGCTTTGCACGAAATTACACGATAAATGAATTCCACACATATATTTAGGAATCTACAGTATTGTACATATAGTTCCAGAAAGTTGAACAATCCCCACATGTTACTGGTAAGCATTTGCAAAGTAAAGTTTTACTTTTCTGAAATAACTGTTGACATTGTTAAATTATAACTAAATCATGTCAATGTGAAATTTTTAGCATAGTATTAGAATAACCAACATATTAATAGTATGTGAGCGAATCAAGAAAATTAAATATTTTCTTACAAAAAAGATGAATTTCTCATTTGAAAAAAGCATCCAAATTATTTCATCACTGTATTAACAAAAACCAGTGTTGCTGGAACAAAGGAAGTCCCAAGTAAGTAAAACAATTTGTACAGTTGATTGCACAGGTAAAATAAATCTGCTTAGACTTAAATTCCCTCCAAGTGACTCACAGTAAAGAATGAGTCCCCATTAATATTATGTTATGTAATACCAACACATTTCTGGGCATTAACTTTTGTTACCTATCTGTACCACACAACAACATGGCCATTGTGTTGCCTCTTTACAGGTTACATTTAAAACAGAACATGATATCCCATTAAAGCATTCTGTTTTCAGTATGGGATTAATTCTACAACACTGATGACCCATCCTGATACAAAAACTTGAAGCAAAGCCAAATTTTTTCATTTATCAATTCACTTTAAAGAAGCAAAATGAATAAATCAATGACATTTGAAGAAAAGTAGTATATACAATAGGGTCTAAAGTACTGCGCTTAAAGAAAGATACTTTTTAAAGATGCAATAGTACTTTTTTTTATCTTATAAACAAGAATGCCATGTTAAATTAGATGACTTCTAGACAAAAAGATTACTTGGAAAAACAACATATACAGAGACATTTATAGAGAGAAGTTTGAACAGAAAGTAAGAGGGGTTAACTTTCTACATCAGAATTTGATGGATGGTCTATAGACCATCACCAGGACCAGGTCACAGTAATCACTCTATACCTGATACCTTCATACCTGTTTAGTGGTCACTGATAAGCAGCAGACTTTTTAATATAGCAGTGCATACTCAAGATATATTATATTTCCGACGAAAATAGTTCCATCATTAATAAGTAGATACAACATAATTGTTCATGATAAAAATAATGTTGTATATGTCATACGTAAAAGAAACCAAAATTAATGTTAATTTTTCCTCCAAAGATAACTTTCCCCCCTAAATGCAAATAAAAATTGTTGATATTCCTACGCTCACTCCCTCCTCAGCTTTTTTTTTTTTAACATGTTTGATAACGGAGAATATCCAGGTCATTCTTCGGTTGATATTTTTTCATTGATGAATTGATTATACTATATCAACAACTGTAGTAAAATCATGTTAATTGTTAGTTAATTATCATATAGTTTCCTCTAAGAGAAAAAAATAATCATTCTGTGTGTGTAGTATATTAAATGACGGAATTTTCAATCCCTGAGCAGACTCCTGCACGTGTGTAGACAAACTACACATCGGGAGAGTACCTGTAAAATGTGCAACAAAACCCGAACTGGCCGGGGATTTCTAAACTGACAATCGTTTAATTTTTATGAATCAGAATTTGTATTCATGTGATCTAATTATGAAAAAAAGTTCTGTCTGCCATCGTAACTTCTCTGTTCGCGGGTGTCCGTTTGACAACTCCATCGCACGTGTGTATAGACCAAGGCTAACTGTCTTGCGGACATAGGTATGTGTACTGTTTGTTAACATGCTACGAAATTTACATAAGTTCTATAACTAGACAGTGCAGTTTTATTTTTATAAACGTCATTAAACACTGTTAAACATATTAAATCTAAAAGTCGAATATCTTTGGATATGGGGTAACCCATATCTATTCTTGTTACATAAAAGAATGCATTTAGGCTGTAGATGCCCTCCCCCCCCTCTCAGGTCGGCTAACTGCTGGTCTAGCAGACAACATGTACAGGAATTTGTTCCTTCATGTCTCATAGGCTGTATATATACCTCAAAGGTAAATCTTAAACAAATAAACTGATTCTTTGAAGTGTCAACACCTATTCCTCAGGGCTAAATACACATAACAGCTGACTAGAGAACTATAATCAAATTTTCCAAAATACTTACAACAAATTTCAACATTTCAGTGAGCAATTTCAGTGTACTGTGAGTATAAAATTTCTATCAACTACATTTCTCTTTATATACAAGCTTGATCAATCTGTCCCATGTATGTTTTTTTTTCTTCTACATAAAAATTGTGCAACTACATCATGTAAATCTCTGATGTTACACATAGCAAACACAAGACTATCTCCAACATATGTGTGAAATTTCAAAATAAAATACAGACCATTTCTGATAAGTTCCTACTCTATGTATACTCCATATTCATATGTCCTGTAAATGCAGAGACCACAGAAGCAATCTTCCATACCTATACACAAACAATCAGGTGAGTGACCTTTGACCTAGCACCCCTCAGGGCCCAGAGTTATTTATAATCTGTTCCACTATTGACTCTCTGCTGGCTTGAGACACTTCCCATTACATAACATTCCAGGTATTTTAGATCAAGGTGTTGTAAACATTCATATATATTCAATGAATACCCTTGCCTTGCTAAATACAGTACAACTTAATTGTGTCTGAAAAGAATCATATTCCAAACTTCCAAGAAAATATGTCAAGATCCTAAATAATCAAATTCTTTGCTTAATCTACTGTAACAGTTATATACCTGCTAACATTTTGAAATTCCAGTTCAATATCTAATTGTGTGCTACGTTCATATATTTATCATATTATCATTGAATTTAAAAAATTCTATATGGCTGACTATGGAATTATTATAAATTTTTCAAATTAATTTGCACCAAATTCTGATAAAAGACAATAAATTAAGGATTTGATCCCTCCCCCCAAGATTAAATTTCATGCATACAGATTTACAACTATGACAGCAGTCAATCATGAAAACAGAGAGAAATCAGAGAAACAAAAAGTAAAGTATGACAACAATTCATTTACAGAAAGTATATTCATTTCATGGCTAGGGCATAAAGAAATTGATTGGAAGACATATATCTTACCCTACTTTTCTTCTGCATTTAAAAAATTATAGAAAAAACTTTAATAATGAACTTTTCCCCCATTAAATATCTCTAAGTAAATACTTTGTAACCCCTCTTTTTTACAAACAGCGACAGGATTATTTGACTGTTATGAAGCAATGTCTTCATCAAGTGTTTACAAACCAACAGTGTCTGTTCCAGTGTATACATACAAACTAAGACACTTAGTTAAACATTCGGTACACCCCACTTCACTAATTGATTTACATGTGGGTGGTTTGTACCAAGTCAACCCAGGAAATCTTAAGAGTAGCAGAGTTACTGCCCTTTAATTCTATTCACTTTTAAGGTTTTTAAAACATGGCGTCAGAGAAAAAATATGATAAACTAATGAAATTGATGATGAAATTGACCATGATTTAAACTGCCCTTACCCTGATGGTGTGTCTGTTCTTGTCACAGTGAGGACTCTGCTCCTTGCAGGAATTTTCATGGACATTAATTGAACAATCTGAAATTAGTAAAATGAATTTTGTAATTTTTTTTTCTGTATTTCCCCCAAAATTAGAATAATAAATAATTAATAAAAACATCCTTATTGTTATTGTAAGTACCGATTCAAAATTTTTCATGCATCAATTTGGAGGCAAATATCATAAAGAAGTTATTTTTTGTGTCCCAATTTGGATAATACCTACAGGTGCTACATTTTTAACCTATATTACCAAAACACTGGGACAATCCATTTCTTCCTTTTCAGAGTTTTCTATTGGCAAAATACATTGAAATAAAGAGATTTCACATCTGAAGTAGCTCAATCAAACAAACAAATTTGATTTTCACACTAAATAATTCAGACTTACTTTCACATCTGAGTGCTGCTTTGTTGGCCATGGATTTAGAACACACATCACACGAGGTGGAGTTACTGAAGCTGACGCTAACAAAGTTGTGACCATGGCGACCCTTGTTCTCTTTCTCCTTGTGCTGAAAAACAGAGGAAGTCACTGTTAAACAGTATTACATCTGGGGGATTCGAAATTGATGACATCACACCACATCAAAGTGACAGTGTAATCTCTAAGGACACCCAAAGCTTCCCTTGGTGACAAAGAATGGCTAACATTTCTTAGTTACAGGGTAATCAGCTGCAGAAGTCTTTGAAGTATGTGCATTTTCATTTCATTCCTGTTCTAAAATTTCTTTATTTCACAATACTTACAAAGACAAATCAGATTATTTCTAACAGAAAAGTCACATCAAAGGAAAGTGATTCACATATTTGTTAATTAAACTTGTTCTTTTTTGTTATCCATAAACGTTAGAGTAATTAATCAATGTAGTTGTTAATATGGGGAAATATTCAAGAATTAGCACCTCAATTTCTTGAAGACCGACTAAAGAGGTCAGCTGATTTTCAATATTTAGAATGTCCTCTCTAAAGTACAAAATTGTCCACCAAAGCGATCAAATCCCAAGAATATCTGGTTGAACATCTTTGATTTCAGCAATTTATTAAGCTTTAATTAAAAATTCATCATTATATATTTCTGCATATGTATACAATAACTGCTGCATCTCTTAAAATTGGTCTGTGATGCGATTCCTTTTACATACTTGGCTGAGGCACTGTTTATACTATTCTTACATATTCTGTTTCCAGAAAAATATAATGTGATTTTTTGTTTTAATCCACAATACATTGAGTTACATATTAAATCTGATTTTAAGTAAGTGACTATATACATGTACTTACAAGAAAAATCATTAAGTTTTCTATGTTGTCCTGTAAAATTTGATGCAGCATGACAATGTATTAAGGAAAACATCTTATTTTTTATTATATACATGTGATTTCTGACAGAATTTCCTGACATAACACACAGCACCAGCTAGGGCATATCACAACTGCTCTATAATCCTTGTGATGCTACAATGTATATATATACCCCGGTACAAATACATGTGTGTGCATTTGTAGAATCAATCTAAATAGCACATTTAATTTGGGTGCATCGATTTACCCAAATGGACCCAAATGGAAACTCAAATAGACCCAAATGGAAATCAAATGGACAAATGGAATATAAAATATATATATTATATCGGTTTTTAAAATAATGAAATTAAAACAAAAAAAAATTTTTTATATATATACAATGTATTTTTTAAAATGCGATTTAATTCTATTTGTAATAACTATTGAACATAATTGAATACAAAACTGAAGCACACAGCATGGCCAGCTAGGGCATATCACAACTGCTACCCCCTATAATTTTCCTATATGATGCTACAATGTTTATATATATATATAATAAAAAAAAATCCATGTGTGTTCATTTATTTTTATCATTTTGTAGTATTAAAATACAATAATACATATTTAATATTCTACATTTATTTGTCCATTTGTGTTTCCATTTACACACTATTTTAGTGGCATAATAATGATACTGATGTGGCAATATAAGACAGCATATGGAAACATTATAAGGGTAAAAATCATTACACTTAGGTTAACCATGAAAATAAAAAGAATCTTGTTTTTTGATTAGATTAATTAAATGCTACTTGTTTCCTACCCCCCTTGCCATGGTCTTGTAAATAGAAAATTAATTGTGCACTCAAACTCATTCCAAAAATCAGGGGAATATGGCTTTGTACCAGAAAAAAGGCACCATATATTTATAAATCACAAACTGTGCCTTAATTTTATAAGGAAAAAATATATCTACAAAGTGGAAGTGCTTGCACAAAGCATTACATGTAGTACTTACGATATATAGTGTAGCTTTATCTGTATCATATACCGTCACAAAGAATAACATAATGTCAATAAGTCATGAAAATATCAGATTTGTACAGCTTGTGGTGGAGCGTAATCTCAATATACACTGACAATAGTCCTGGTATCACAAGTCATATCAATCCTTAGTACGTCAATATGTTTCACATGGAAATAAGATCATAACAACCCATAATGTACAAAAATACTGAAATGGCTCCATAGAATCTGTATAGAATCCCATAAATATCTCAGACAGAAAAATAATTCTCCTGCCAGTACAAAACCTGCCTTATCCTTTTCCAAAATGTTCCCTTTTTTAAAACCACACTTGTATATTCCAAGTCTTAGTTTTTTTTCTTGTGATGACCAGCCCTATAGTCCCTAGCACAGCAAACTGTCCCCAGATCAATCAGATAATGAAGACGTCCAATAAAAATGTCACAGTCAGAATCTAATTATGACAATCTGATGGTGGAGATTATTATTGTCTAAAGTGACCAGGACTGATCAGACCAGTGGTCAGTGATGGGTCGGGGCTATAACTGACCTTTGTGGTCTATAGTGTGTAATGAATTGTCACCCCCTTTTTATCCAGTCTCCATGTAGTCCTTACATAAAGCACCTGCTCCTGCATAAGGTGTTGAGTGACAGGGGGGATAATTTGTTTATAAGCATGAAATCTCCTATCTACAGATGGATCATAACACCTAGGCATTGATCACGATTGATTTAACATCATTTATTTTAATTCAGTAATTATACACAATACCCTAAGCCTGCCACCTAACTTCTTACTATTACAAAATATTCCCTGGTATTAGCCATTATACATTATTTTCTCCATACCAACCGTTAATTAAACTGGTTGATGGTTTACTTTTTATAAATACTCCTTTCAAAGACAGATGTATTGACATATATTTCTGAGATTCGGAAATTTAAATGAAATAAACATGTAATAAAAATTATACAGCATAATCATGGATTTCAAAGTAGAATAAAAGTGTTGAAACACGTTTTAAACAAACTCATCTTCTAATGAGGAAGAAATACTGGTATATTAATTCCAATAATTTTCAGAATAAAGCATTTACTTTAATTAATATATCAATCAAATTTGCACATATAAATTTGCAATACTGAAGTTCAAGTTGATCTCTTTTTTCCCAAAATTCACAAGTAACATCCCCCCCCACCCCCCAAAAAAATAAACTAAGAGAATCCTACAGGAATAAAAAATTGATGGTAATATCATGGTATATATGGAACTTTATGTAGAATATGACTTGTTTAAAACAACTGTGACCATAATGGATAGCTGAAGAGATACACAATTTTAAACTCAATATTCCTCTCATGTTCAAACTAAAGCATGAATGATACACATTCTTAAAACACAGTTAAAAAAAAGCTGTGTAAATTGTCATATACCTTGTTATAATCAGTAACACGTACCCCCTGTAAAGTGAAGGAAAAATATTCCTAAACTGAAGACCCTATCACCTATCAAATAATGGACTTCTATTAGCATCTGTGCTAGTTTCACAGTTAAGATAGAATCTGTAAGGGGTCTTATAGTTGATCCCTAATTATTACACCTCCAAGGGAGGTAAGTTTATAGGGGCACTAAGGTGTAAGTCAATCCCTATCATAATACAGATGTAATACCTCTTTTTGCCACCTGCCTGCTATACTCAGTAAGGGGTTCACCATCTGCCAACATTTAAAAACCTCTTAAATATTAATTTATCTTAAATTGTTAAATGGTAGAGTCCAATACTTGTATAAATAATATAATAAATTATACATAAGTAGAATTTGTACAGTTAAGTTGTGTTAACTAAAATATTCCTTTAAACATCTGATATAAAATAATCAAAGTCTTACCAGGAATTGCCCCTTATTTATCCAAAATGTAATATTCATTTAATACAAAAAAAGACTACAAGAGTTACAAAGGCTCCAAGTCCAATAGAAGGAAGGTAGTATTTAGGTGCAATAAGAACAAACCAGTGTGTTACAGTGTCAATGAACCACAAACCGACATCTACAGCTAATTACAAACAAGTTGTTGATGTACCATGATTTGGTTGTTGTTTCTATCTACACATCATGGCAAGTTTCACATCAATTTACAGATAGAGTGAAAAAACAAACAAGCTAATTCAGAGAATTCGTGTCCCCCGCTTAGGGAAAAAGTCGGCTCCCCCTGACTGAATTTGTAGAATTATTAAATGTATACATGTATACTGAAGGAAATAAAATACATGTATGTCAATAGGCATATAAAGATTTGATTGCTTATTCTTTATTATGTGTATAGAAGATTTTTTTATATGGAATATTTATCACACTGTAATGATGATTTTATAACCTCATAAATTTTTCATTTCACATGCTGAATACTATCATTTAGTGAAAAAAAAAATATTTAAAAAAAAAAAAAAAGAAAGGTTCGACCGAGATTCGATCTCGGGACCTCGCACATTTGAAGCGAGAGACATAACCACTAGACCACGGAGTCGCTTTACTTAGAGTGAAGTATATGCAGAACTGAAGTCACATACATGTATATATTCATGTTTTCATGTTCGGTATTCTCAAAATTTTACACAATCCATGGTGTTTGATTTATTTAGCCTTTCTTAAACAGTTATAATAGATGTAATAAGAACATCAAGTCCGCCGAGAACCTGTTTTATACGCAATAACTCTCCTCATGCCCCTGCGCTAAAAATAGCGACATGTAATACTATAAATACTAATAAAACAAACGGGGCGGGGCACTTTGAGAGGGGCGAGAGACCTCCTAGGGAGTTTTGGTATAAAATTACATTGCATAAGCTCAAAATCTTCTTGAAATTTCGCCTGGAAATGATAGTGTTACACACAGACAGAATGTATAAATTTACGACCTTGAACTTTGACCTTTTGACCTCAAAATCAATAGGGGTCTTCTTTAGGCCACAGGGAGTTGTTATGTAAAATTTCATTGCGATAGCTCAAATGGTTCTAGAGATATCGTGTGGAAACGAAAGTGTTTTAACAGACAGAATTTGCTTATTTATGACCTTGACCTTTGACCTTTTGACCTCAAAATCAATAGGGGTCTTCTTTAGTCCATAGGGAGTTGCTATGTTAAATTTCATTGCAAAAGCTCAAAGGGTTCTCGAGATATCGTGTGGAAACGAAAGCGTTACAGACAGACAGAAAGACGGGCAGACGGACGGACGGACAGACGGACGGACAAACCCAAATTAATATCCCCCACTTTTCAAGCGGGGGACAATTAGACTTTGTACCAAAGCAAATTAACAGGACCTTAAAAATCCTCAGGAATTTGCTTAAAATTATCTGTCAGCTTTACTCATAGTAATTACTTCAAACTGTGATGAAAATTTTAAATGTGATTTTAATTTTATGAGATGTCTAAGATTATCAGATTTAGCTGCTATTAACAGTTTCCTAAGTCTGGAGCATATAAATACATAATGTCTATCTATGGAAAAAAGGTGTTGCAACCTGAAAACAGGCATTGGTAAATTTTTATGATTTTCAAATGCAAACTCTATGTAATAAATTCTACCAATTATTTTTTTATGATTAAGAATATGCATCGAAATTAAAAAAAACATTTGTCTAAGATTTCAATCAGACCAAAGCCATTTTCAATTTCTTTCAATTTGCTTTAAAATACACTGATGCATTTTTCAATCAGCAAACTTTGGCAGAATTCCATTGAGGTAAGAATCTGGCAAGCGATACATGGTTTGGTAAACTAATGCATTTATTCCTCTGTTTACAATTGTCAAGTAAATTGATTGATTTGCTGGGTGGGTGGATGTATTTTTTTTTCTGGTCAATCACGCCAATTATTCAGAGCAGTGAGAAACTTATTTGATGTTGTTGTAATCAGATGTATAAAAACAGATATCCCATTGTCTGTAAACAGATACCCTACTGTCTGTCACTGTCTTCCAACAGGTGCCCCACTGCCTGTAATTAGGTGCCCCAGATGCCCATGATCATGTCCACGCTGCAATCAGGTGCCCAAAATGCCTGTGATCATGTCCCTGCTGCCTGTAATCAGGTGCCCCACTGTCTGTAAACACGTGTCCCACTGCAATATATAGATGCCCTACTGCCTGTAAACAGGTGCCCCCAGTGCCTGTAAGCAGGTGCCCCACTGCCTGTAATCAGGTGCCCCCAGTGCCTGTAAACAGGTGCCCCCAGTGCATGTAAACAGGTGTCCCACTGCCATATATAGATGCCCTACTGCCTGTAAACAGGTGCCCCCAGTGCCTGTAAACAGGTGCCCCACTGCCTGTAATCAGGTGTCCCCAGTGCCTGTAATCAGGTGTCCCACTGCCTGTAATCAGGTGTCCCCAGTGCCTGTAAACAGGTGCCCCACTGCCTGTAATCAGGTGCCCCCAGTGCATGTAAACAGGTGCCCCACTGCCAAATATAGATGCCCTACTGCCTATGATTATGTGCCCTTATCCATTAATAAGGTGCTTAGTACATGTAATTTAACTCCGGCATCACATGTCCACCCTTGGATCCAAATTTCCTTGATTTTATCAGACCCCCCCCCCCCCCCCTTAATTATACCCCTCTGCTGTCTCAGTATACTAACCTTCTTTGTTCTGTAACTGCTACCGAATCTGGAGAACACGCTACTCTTGCGTTTCTTGTCTTTTTCTTCTTTCTCTCTCTTAGCAATTTTTGCCTGCTCATCTGTTGTGTAGTTGGCACTTCTATAACATGGTGATTTTAAAAAATTCAGTAAGTTTTTAGCTGCTAAATGTCATAAATATAGTGTAGTAGTAATGTTATAAATCTCATCACTCTGGCATAATACAATCTCATGAGTTAAAAAGAGGCCTCTGGGCCAAACGCTCACCTGAGTCACCATTCTTCTTTCGATAAACAAATGAGTAAGTTTATATAAATGAAACCTTCTTTACTGAAAGTTAAGTTTCCAGGTTCAATACTTTTGATCTGGATGAACTTGAGTACACAATTGTCTGCATATCAACAAACCCAAATTGGGACCTTTTGTTCTTGAGAATAAAGAATTTTAAAGGTTTTAAAAAGACTTTTCCTACATATCCTATTGTAAATTAATAAACCCTACAATGCAACCAAAAGGTCATATATCCAACAGTTCTTCAATCTGAGAAAGTAATAGTTATCCCACAGGATTGTTTTTCTTGACCTAATAATTTTTGGGAATGATTCTTACACCAACCTATTCTTTTTTTTCTCCCTATTTTGAACATTTTTAATTCATTAAATAGGCAGCTTCATTCTTCATAAATGATAAACTTGAACTCCCATATTTTAAAGATTTTTTTAAAGCAAGATTTGTTGATACTGGGATGATGCTTTTAAAGGAAAGATGAAAATGTGTAACATTTACACACACACTAGCTGTACTGACAACAGACAATCATTGATCAGAAGAACTTATTTGAGCCTTTACTAAAGGTGACCTGAAAAATGATTCAGAGGGAATATTAAAATCCACACTATACACATAAATTTGGAAAAAAGTTTGAAGTATTAATTGTGGTGATTACAACATCTTGTTATCAAATGCAGAGATTAAATTCATAAACACACAGGAAAAAGCTATAAAGAACCTGCAATGTTGGAAACAACTGTGTAATAGATGACAGTTCATCTTCTGTCATTTTTAAAGCAAAATTACAGTTAAAAAATATAAAATTCATAAATTATTATAAATCAAAATCTTAACACTTATGTATAGCAACTTGACTGCAGTGTCTTTATGAAACTACACATCTCTATGTCATATACACTAATTTTTTTTGTAGATTTTTCCCCAAAACCCATTTCTGTTAGCATTACAACGTGAATAAATTCAAAAAGCAGAATATTATAAGGTATTCTAAGCAGAAGCTGTGCTTGCGCAGTTGTTGTGAGTTTTAAGCCCCGCATTTACCCCATCTCTCCTTAGCTTACAATTCATAGAATCCTAAATGAAACTCAAACAAACACTAATAATGTCAAGGCAAATAAACCAGAATGTTTTTCCAAACAATGCCCACCAAAACAAGATTTTGTGTAATAAGAATTGACACATTTCTCAGAGTTTTCTCCCTTTGTAAGATGGTTCCCAAAAACTGGTGGCCTTATCCAACTTACTCGCTGAGGAAGTCAAGCAGAGAGAGTTCCGATTTTCTGCGGGATTTACTGTTGTTACGCCCCAGTAATCGGTTTGTTCTCTCATCATCATCTTCATGAATCTCTTCTTGTCTTCGAAATTGTGCGCTACAATGGCATAAAGCTCATCTAACAAGGAGATACAGCCAGGCTATTTAAGAACCTTTGTAAACCTTTGATATTTCAGAGAAATTTTTAAAAAATGACTGTCTGAATAATTTAACTATATAATAAATAAAGAAATACATAAAACAAATTGTAAAACCAAACTGATTAAATCATTCAAGATATACATGTATATATATGCATATGTAATGCAAAGTTGGAGACAGTATTAAGAGGTGACAGATTCATGAATCCAATATCACACACCCCGACCACTTATCACTTCAAAAAGAAGCTTTAATAAGCAAAACTGTCAGTCAAACATGAATTCCTATTATTAAAAAAATGGTTGCTCTTAATTCAGCTTTCCAACCCCCTACTAATAGTTTCTACCTAATGTACTCAATTTCATGAACTGTTATCATTATCCCAAAGTAAGGGTGAAACTCTTGCAATTCTTTTAAAAATCTCTAATTTATTTTTAATTCTGGCATTGTAACTAGTACAGCATAATGCTCTACTGATTTGCTGTAAAATCACTAACTAGCAATATGGAATAGTCTAGAGTGGTCTAAGGTTACCTCATGTAATGCATCCATATATGCAAAGACACTGAAATTCGTCTGTAAATGACAATGCAACTGATGAACATAAAACAACTTAACACTGTGCAACAAAAAGCATGCAAAGGCCAAAGAGTGCATTGCTTGCTCATGCAGAGAGTATTAGAGGCAGCAATTGGTCAAACATGCATGTCAGTTTCATTACAGGCCAACTGGACAAATTAGTCTCCATAGCACAACACTGTGAGACAGTGCTCTGAAAGTCATATCAGGTGTTTAAATTAAAACAAAGACAGAAAGTCATTTGTAATAGAGGAAGGGGATTCATCATGCTTATCTCTGAGATGAAGAACTTAGTCAGGATTTTCTCTGTTTTATCAATAGTTCAAGCTCCTATATTGTGCAGATGCAATCTTTATTGCTGTTGATGTATCATTGGAAGTAAGAAGGAGCATTTCAATAGAGAAATCTTTCAGAGCACTGAGATAGCTGCAATAAGAGAATGCAAACATTTGCTTTCACTCACTCATGTTCCTCTATAAGTTTTTGAATGAGTAGATAAGAGGGGGTATTGGATCTGAAATATAATACCACAAGGCACCAGTGTCATTCAAAACACCATCTATAGTCAATATCAGCTTTCAATCAATTTCAAAATTAATTTTAAAAAATTGTGCAAAGTCTGAAAGTGTTTCTCGTTTATAAATTTAAATTGTGTATCAATCAAATAAATCAAATTAAACAAATACTGAAATAAATTATCAAACTTTCTCTAATCAAGCCTTACATAATTATTCTTTTATTCTACTTGTATCTATTATAAATGAAAAATCTATTTATTCATCCACATGCATAATGACAAAAACAGAAGCCAAATTTTGCAAAATAAAAGAAAATGTTCAATATCTGACTTCACCCCAAATAAAACGGTTTATCAGACAACTCAAAGAGACAGACCAGCTGTCAGTTACATGCAGGTTATGCGAATGTAGACCTCTCCTTATCACTAGTTTCTACTTCAGAAAATAGTCAAAGTTAACACAACTTGTCTTATCAATCAATTTTTTTTTCCATTCCGAATATTTAGAGAGTAGGTCTACATGAGAAGGGCCATAACTCTACAATAAACTAATGCATCAACATCCTGGCATTACACGCCCGCACAAACTTATGTCTACACATACCGGAATAGTTTAGCCCTTCTGGACAGCAAAGGAAAACAGGAATAAAATTTAGAATCTAACATTTAAAATGAAGAAAGTCAGCAGACTAATGGTCTACTAAAATATAACAAACTGAACCTGATCGACACTTAAAGCTCAATTTATTTATTTATTTAGATTCAAATAACTTGTATTCCTATTATACCAGAAAACGAGAAAAGGGAATATTAAACAGCTACGTCCCAATCAGTACGTGGTATAAAATGTTTTCTTAATACAGTAAAACTTGGTTATAAGGAAGTCGTTCACAGATTTATTTTTGCTTCCTTAATTCAAAGATTTTTTCATAACCCTTAAAGAATCACAGAGCAAAGTCTTAATTAAGATTCATGAAGTTCCTAATAAAAGAGATTCCCTTATCACAGAGATTAATAATAAGACCAAGTTCTACTGTATTATTTAAACATTCAAACCATAATAGAGTATGCGATTGAATATGTTGATAAATTAATAATCTACATTTTAATGGGAAAATATTGCTTAAATGTTAGTAGAATATAAGTGACAGTTGGGAGTTAATGAACAATCCCTTCAAATGTTTCGAGATTTCAGATGTTCAATACCATTTTGTTAAAAAGATATTATTTTAATTGCCTCTATGGTGTTAAAATTACGAGAACTACATTGACTTAATAATATTCCTACTTACTGTTTTGCCTCCTTCTGAAAGGACTTCTTTTCAGCTGAAATTACATCAATGAATGATTGTTAATAAAATAAAAACAATTTAATTTCATAAAGTAATAAGAATATAACTGATAAATAAAAGGCCCTAGGGCCAAAATGGTCACCATATCATAGCAAGCTGTACGTAACTCAACCTTCAACCATACCTGTTTTATCTGTGATATCCTTATAGGATTATGGGTCGGTTTTTTTTTCAAAGCATACTCGTGAGTTAATAATTGATATTATAAGAAAATGTAATTAACGTACTGATACAATACTGAAAGATTGGGATGACTTATTCAATTGATTTTATCTAAAAAAAAAAAAAAAGAAGCCGTTGCAGATTTTCAAAGCCTTAAGATGCAATCAAAGCATGATACATTTCCGTAAATTTTTAAAAAAAACAAACAATGAACTTAAAATATTAAAGCATAAAATTGTTACATTATTTATTAAATATAAAATTTACTACTGTAGAATTCAAAATTAAATAGGGTCAAAATTAACCCGACAACACATAAAGTAACCAATCAATGATGTAGGCCAGTGAACCAGTAAAATTTTCACAATCCATGAAAAATAGCCCTCATCAAATTCTTATTAGTCTAGAGCACCTTTTGATTTTTCAAAGATTAACTAAATAATCAAAACAGATTTTGAAAAATGAAAAATTCCAGTATTTATGTATGCATGGGAATAAGCTGAAATTCATATAAACCACAGGGACATTTCTGTATGCATAACCATCTGTTCCAGAGTTTATAGCAAACCCAAACTCCCCCTCCCTATCCACAATTTTTTTTTCACATTGACATTAAAGCTGCCACAAATATTTCTTGTGCCAACATTGAATCAGGCAACATGCATCAACTGCCGATAAAATACTCGAGACAACGCACACTGTGTATGAGCTTATACACAAATAGCAATCAGATCTAAAGGGATCATTGCTGTTTTAACAGTATAAATGTAATTATGATTAAAATATTAAAAAGATTCTAAATCAAGTGGATAGTGAAATGTTAAATAAAAAATTTATGATTAGGTGTCATCCACCACATTTTCAGTGTCACAAAGGCAACAAATAATAACTAGATATTTTAGTCCGTAAAAAGCTGGGAAAAAAAAAAGAGAATATCAGGGAAAAATTAATTCTGAAAGTAAAATATTGTAATCAAACAAAACAGTCTGTATATATACATCCAGATAATGAAAGCCATCACCAATAAAAACCCAGAACTCTTGTATAGATAGTGTTATAGTCCCACTGACATACTTGTGTCCGTGTCTTCAAAGTCAAAGATATGCCTTCCTACATCAATTACTTTGTTCCACCAACCTATGTATACAAAGAATTACAGATTTCTGATGTACAGCCGGTATACAGTAAAGCTCAAAATGAACTCTACTTCAAGGGGCCAACAAGGTTCCTCTTTAATCCTAGCACTGTTCTGTAGTTCCAGGGTGATGGAAAAAATTCAGAGACCATTTGTTTTAGAGGACAGTTATGAAATCATACCTGCTTGTCCCGTACGATTTTAATGGATCTAATACAGCTTTCTTTATGCAAATAAAAAATATTGAACTTTATTCTAGATATCTTCTTAAACTATCAGATGTAAATGTGATATTTGGATACTAAGAGACAAGTCTCATGCAAATCTAGAAGCATTTTATTTCAGATTCTTAATAACCGGAATCATCAAGCAAAAAAATTGTACTTGTCACCAGGGTCAAGCAGTTTATGACATCCACTTGTCCTCTGACAATTTTCACTCATCTATGACCAGTGTACAAGTGATTTTTTGCATCCTGCTAATGGAACCTTAAGGTTGGAGGTCATACTTACTGGGGGAAACAGCTGCTGGGATTGAGGGCGTAGACATTGATTTAGTCATGGTGGAATGTGGAACATTAAGGTTAGAGGTCATATCTTCATCAGTCGAGTCTCCACTTTGACCCGACATCGTCGTTTCTCCGTCTTGCGACAGGGATTTCTAAAAATAGCAAAAAAAATTAATTTTTTTTTTTTTTTACATGGTAAAACTGAACTGTACATTCTTTTATCTTACCCCTTTTTAATCTAAAATATATGTTAAAATCCATTTTTTTGGCAAACATTCATCATTTAACAAGGCCCGATCTAGTTGAAAATTACAAAAACGGAATGATAAAAATTTTTAATTCTTGGAAATATACTTGTATGTTTTATGGTTAGAAAAATCAGAATGAAATTTTGTTACCTTGCCTTTATTGTAGTGAAATGGGGGAATTGTCAAGATATGGACCATTTTTCGTGTTTTTAAACACAATTACATACTAAAACTCTTCAATAAACAAAGAAATTTACAAATTTAAAAAAAAAATACATGATGAAATTCTTTGTTTTTCACATATATCATGCAATTTTCATTCTTCTTATAAAAAATGAAAAGAAAATTGGAGGTAGCCTTTATTGCAGTGAAAAGGGGGCATGTCAAAACACAAAATTTGGATTTATTCTATCCAACTACGTATTTCATAAGTCGCAATGGGTTTATATGACACCAACAAACGATTGCAATACTGTATTAGTTTCTAAAAAATGAAATATTCTTACATTTTGAAATAATTTTCTCGCCTTGCTTTATTTTTCTCTTAACACGCGACTTTGTTTTACGTGGAAAAAAGGGGTAGAGGGAGGAGGGGGGGGGGGGGGGGTAAAGGCAACAAAATTGCGATTTTTACTACTATCATGTAATATATATAATGAAAAATACAGTATTTCGGAGGTTCAGTTTAAAAAATGATTTATAGGCTTATTTTATTTTTTAAAACTGAAGATAATTCATGCATATTTCAACATGTTCAAATTGAAAGACTAAAATCGTTTACTTTTAGTTGCAGTTTTTGTTTTTTTGAAACTCACAAATTGAAATAAAACAGGGTAAATTTAAATGAATCTGTACCAAAAAATTGATCCCTCAAAATTAATTAGGTTCCGAAGTTGTTTATTAATTTAAATATTTAAAAAAATAAATAGTAGAAATGCCAGCTTTCAATGCATAGTCTATAGAGCTACCAGGTAAGCAAGATCAGCGAAACATTTTAGCGCAACTTGATGTCATTTTAATGTGACGTTATTGTGTTCAATTGTGATGGCAGTCAAGGGTATTGTGACATGCCTGAGTCGACGCTGTGTTAAAATGTATGCGCAGATCAAGTAGATCGGGCCTCGTTAAGCATTAGTTTCAACATCATAATCAAAGTATATACAGAAAGCATTTGGCATTATAAATGTTGGAGCTCTCACCATACTTATGTAAGTGAAATGCCGAAGACCAAATCTTACCAGAGTTTGCCTGGGTGAGACAAGCTCTTTCTTCATGCTATGAAGTGTTCTTGTCAAAGTTTGGCCCTGGCTGGCATCATCTTTATCATGGTCTTCAAAAAAAATATTGATGCAAATTACTTAAATTCGCTTCTTCAAGAAACATTTGTTTAAAAAACACTATTAATCTCTGAATGATGAAATTACACTCTTCAATGTGGGAAGTCAGAAAAAAATTACTAATATTATTTTTAAGGGAAAAATATTCTTACATGTTTAAGTTAGATCATATTTAGTAAAACTTAAGCAATTAAGACAGGGCAAAAGGAGCAAAGCAACTGAGCCCTGGGTCTTATTGATCACTGAAATCTTAAAATTAATGATCTAACTCATTGACTGACCAAAAGTTTGAAGTTAAATTCTTTTCAATTAGAAATCTCGCCTGAATGAAATTTTTTAAAAAATCTTAAAAATAAGAAATGAATCACTTAAAGCAATACGAGCTGCAACTTTGATGTCAGATTTTTTGTTGTTGCAAAATGGTAAATAATTATTTCAATGACAGAAAAAATAACTTTAGGCCAAAAATAAAAATAGTCTTGTTTCCTGCTACCCGACCTACCCTATTTTTTTACACCCGACCCTAAAGTTTTTTTTAGCTTCTGGGGAAAAAAATGGAAATTGCAGGAATTTTATGATCCAAAAGTGAAAAAAAATATATATATTAAAACTGTATTTCATGAAATATATGTTTAAAATATGTTCTTTTATAACATTCCACTTGAGTTGTGCATCAAAAGACATGAAATTTCTTTTCAAAAGATAATATTGACCTAGTTATGATGTTTTATTTGGTTTTGTAGTAGTTCATATCCAAAAAATACCTTTGGAAAAAATAAAATAAATTAAAAAAATAAAATAATTTTCCTACCTACCGACCCTATTTTTTTCAGGCTGGTAGCAGGAAACAAGACTATTATTTTTTTTGGCCTTAATAATCTTCTGTTGTTCATATTTGTGGTATAAGAACAATTTAAAAGCTTCGACTGCATCAAAATTCCATTATTGTTGTCATGTACAATAATGATTTTTATATAAAAATGTTTATTGGAGTGTAAATAAAAGTCTTTTTTCAGCTTTAATCAGCTTTAATTTAGTTGTATTGATCACAATGATTTAAGTTACATACAACTTAATCATAATAACACGTTAACAGCAAAATAAAATTTTCAAAAATGCAGCTCATATTGCTTTATTGGAATATTCCGTGTTGATTGGATGATGAAATTCCGTTATCTTCTACACATTATTTTACCTTTAATTATCACATGTGACATTTGACTTAGCCGTTCTTACTGTAATTCCTGGACTGAGAGGAGGTGGGTGGGGTAACCGTGAGCCCCTCCATGGCTACAGGAGGAACCACCTGGTCATGTGACTCTGTGGGCGAGGCTGGCTTCTGGTCGTCAGTTTCATCGTTCGACATTTCATTATCAGAATCATCACCATCTAAGCTGTTCAGGCTACAACTGAAAGTATCAAATTTTCATGAAGACACAAACCATAAATGAAACTAATGAAATTCTGGAATTTCTTAAAATGAAAAAAAAATTCCAAGCACTTTTCAATTTTTCTTTGAAAAACAGACTTTCAGAAATAAAACACACATCCTCAGCTTATCTAAGAATTTCCATTTCTAATGGATATATCGGTGAACGTCAATACGTGATGTGATTGACCTTTTCATTCAATTTCTGTCACTTTCAGCTTCATCAGAGTTTGATGCTGCTTCGAGTTTGATCTCCATTCTAAATCAGTCAGTTCCCTTCATGTTCAAATAGGTGAGAGAAATACAGATGACAGGACTATTTTGTCTGACTTCATTGACTTACTTTTGTCTGTGTTTTAACATCTTGATGAGTCCCACTTATATTTGTGACAGTCAATGTGAAGACACATTTGGGACACAGAAAAGGGGAAGAGGAATTACTGGGTGAATGACTTCTCTGAACCTCAAGGGGCATTTTAGCAGGTCCTAGTTTTACATGTATGCAAAACTGACACATACTGATACATGCTAACCTACTGTGATCAAACAGAGAGATTCAGAACCTCAAAATTGGACACAATTGTGCATGCAAATGGTATTTAACGCTTCGATTTTGAAAATTGAAAATATTCTCAAATGACCACTGCAATAACATATGGAAAGAAATATTACTCATGCACATCACATCAAGTTTAAATAGGGGCTTCTTAGCCTTTTGAATACTGATCTTTGTGGTATCACCTTGAAGCCAAATAGAGCAAAAATTGTGTCACTGGACAATTCAGAACCTAAAACTACCAGTAGTTTGTATTTCTTTAAACAATATATAAACTGCTTGAAAAGAAAATGAAAAATTAGAGATGCATGAAAATGAATACCGTAAATCTGGAAATTTTTGCTGCAGATAAATTTTTAGCAAATTTGCGAGTTTATTGCATTCGCAAAAATATTTTTCTTAAAAATAAATTACCAATAAGAAAATGTAACTAAAGCAGTGGTAATTTGCAAAATTTTGAAACGTAAAAATTTATCAACACCATTTTGACCTGAATTCGCAAAATAAAATCGACATAAGAATTTCCAGATTTACGGTATTGATTTCCTTTTCAATTTTTATGAACAAAGTCATTAGTTTTCATTCAGATTCTAGAATACTAAGTTTATGCTTTTTTTATGGAGAATGTCATAGAAAAGTTTAAATCATGCAGCATCATACTTGCCAACCTCCAGCATGTAAAAATCTGGTCATGACCAGATTTGGAAAGTAAAAAATCTGGTCATAACGCGTAACGACATTCACGACATATTTATTATGATTAAATTTTATACATATATATACAAAGTATTTGTGTATTGAGAATTCCTTTATTGAAAAAGGAATTAATTTACTATGACAAAAAATTCATACATAATTTGATTTAATTTACATGTTAAAAATGAGAATTGAAGGTTTCATATTTCAGTATTGATCCTAAGTAAGTGTGCATTTTTTTTTTTTTATATATAAAAAGCCTTTTCAGTTTCTGCTAAATTTGAAAGTATACCAATTTCAGTTTTGAAGTTATTTTTCCTCTGTCTTAATTAATTAACTACTGCAATATATTTTAAATGTGAAGTTAGGCCTACACTGTCTTCGATCTCTTTATTTTATCTAGAATGAAAGTTTTTTTTCCCAAGATTCCTTGATATGTACATAAATATTGTTTCTCTTTTTCTTGGTTCAATCAGAGACATGTGTTTGGTTCAATTTGTTCCTGTTGGCCCTGATAACGATCTAGTTCTATCGGAAGCCATTTTAATTGACTTCAAACATTGATTTGTCAAAACAACACCCAGTTAATTGTTTACACATGCACTGATAATTAATCCATCGGCATTGTTTACGTAGATCTAAGCTTGGATTGTAACTGGAAGTTAAAAGTGCAACCTAATATACGAACCAAATCCGGAAATCGTGAGATTTTCGGGTTGTTCGGCAAAAATCGGGTGATAAGCATGACCCGCCGTGTCATAAAAAATAATCGGGTTACGGGTTGAAAAATCGGGTGTGACCCGACGAAATCGGGTGAGTTGGCAACTATGTGCAGCATCTTATAAACTAACAAGATATTAAAACACAGTAGCTTTGAATTCCAAATTGACAACCAAAGCAAACTCAAAATGGATTTGCAGAAGGGTGATATATTATTTTTTAAATGAGAGCAGTAAGCAGGAGCTGGAGGGGGGAAAGCAGTAGACTTCCACAAAAGGTTTTATTCTTTACTGACCTCTTCCTGAAATAAAAACATTTGCAGACACACAGACAGACTTACCTTTTACCAGACAGAACTGGGTTAGCTTTCCTGTTAATTCTGTGTCCTATAGCATTCTGGGTCATCAGATTGGGACCCCAGCTTCTTCGCCTCACCCCAGGAGTGTTACCCCCATAGAAGTCCTTTAGGAAGTTGTTGAGACTCGAGTCCAGGGGCTCTTCTTGACTGTCTGTGTGTTCAACTGTTTTCCCATTTACATAAATCTAAGAGAACAAGAATATAACACATAAAATATCATAATATAAAAGAATAAGCTTTCTAAAATGCTATCTACACTACCTCATAACACTAAATATCTAAAGATAATTAACCCTTTTCTGTGTCAATTCTGAGACTATTACTCTCATACAATGCACTGTATAGTACAATCATTATGGATGATTTCTACAAAAATTACTCTTCATACTGGTAGATGCACCCAGTATGTGTAATGCACAGGGTTTGAATAAACCTTAATATTCATACATCTTTAATATCTTCAAGGATACAATTTGCTTTCTGTACCAAAATCAAATTAAATAAGTGAGACAAAAATTTAAAGTAGAATCTATATTTTTTGTACTGATAAAATATATGGAAATGACAAACAGTATTCAAGCTCAAAACTCCATGAAAACAATACAAATCAGGAGCAGAGTAAACAAGGACCTCTAAAACATCTGAGGTGGAATGAAGTGCCATAGAGGAATTAGCATCCCATGCCAACTAGCCACACCCACCAAGTTCTGCTCCTTGTCATAGTGGGGAAAACTGATCTAATATGAAACAAGCAAATTCAAAGAATTGTGGTCCCCCGCTTTCGGTGTCATTGTGGGTGAGATGTTATTTCTATGACATATTATGTGTAATACGAACATCCTATCATATGTCATTTATTTAGAAAGTAACATTGAAGTTGATTTTTTTGAAGGATGAAAACCCTAATCCTGACCGTTAAAAAGTTATGGCCAAAGTAAAAAGTTTTTTAAAAGTAGGTCAACTCCAAGGTCAAGATCAAAGGGTCAAAGTTGTTGATATCCAATGAAAAGTTTTCTCACAAGGATTACATATGTGAAGTTTGAAAGCCCTAGCCCTTACTGTTCAAAATTTATGGTCAAGTTTAAAGTTTTATCATAAGTACATAAATCTTTAAGGTCAAGGTCAAAAGGTCAAAGTTGTTGATATCCAATGAAAGGACTTGCTACGAAGAATACATATGTAAAATATAAAAGTCCTAGTATCTACCGTTCAAAAGTTGTGACCAAAGTTAAAGTATTTTTAAAAAGTAGTTAAAACTCCAAGGTCAAGGTCAAAGGGTAAAAGTTATTGGTATCCAATGAAAGGTCTTCCCAAAAGGATCACATATGTGAAGTACAAAAGCCCTAGTCCTTACCGTTCAAAAGTTATGGTCAGGTTAAAGTTTTTTCATAAGTACATAAATCTCCAAGGTCAAGGTCAAAAGGTCAAGGTTGTTGGTATCCAATGAATTGTCTTGCCACAAGGAATACATATGTGAAATATAAAAGTCCTAGTATCTACTGTTTAAAAGTTGTAACCAAGGTTAAAGTTTTTAAAATGTAATTAAAACTCCAAGGTCAAGGTCAAAGGGCAAAAGTTATTGGTATCCAATGAAAGGTCTTCTCACAAGGATTACATATGTGAAGTACGAAAGCCTTCGTCTTCACCGTTCAAAAGTTATGGTCAAGGTTAAAGTTTTTCCATAAGTACGTAAATCTCCAAGGTCAAGGTCAAAAAGTCAAGGTTGTTGTTATCCAATGAAAGGTTTTGCTACAAACAATACATATGTGAAATATGAAAGTCCTAGTACCTACTATTCAAAAGTTATGGTCAAAGTAAAAGTTTGGAATTTTTGTGTAAAAGTGGGTCAAACTCCAAGGTCAAGGTCAAAAGGTCAAATTTGGTGGTACCCAAAGAAAGGTCTTGTCACAAGGAATACACATGTGAAATATGAAAGTCATAGCTCCACTAAATCAAAAGTTATGGGCAAGGTTAAAGTTTTTGTGACGGACAGACTGACGGACAGACGGACAGCTAGACAGACGAATGAGATTTAATGTCCCCTCGCTTTCGCGAAAGCGGGGGACAACAAGAATGAGATTTAATGTCCCCTCGCTTTCGCGAAAGCGGGGGACAACAAGCCATTAGAACTTTAAAAGTAAATTTTATGCATGTCACTTGGCATATGAATATATTAAATTTTTACAATACACTGTGTAAACATATTGTAATTTGTTTTTTTTTTCAAAGCTACCTCTAGTATTAAATGCTAGACTATGTGTTTGCACAAGCCCGGACAATTGAAACCCAATATGTAACAATAGGCCTATGGACTACAATGCTCACCTGTGTCACATTAGCCTTTAATTTCTCAAGAGTTCCCCTTTATTTCCATGAAAATTTTTGAATCCATATATTCCAATGTAAGACTTCACATTTTTTTTTATTTTGACTCAATCCTACACCTTGGTTAATAAGAATGGAATTATTTGCACATTTATTTTACTAATAATGACCCAGCCATTATTGATAAGTTTAATTTAAAGATTTTTTTTTTACTTTAAATTTAAAATATTGATCCTGTATTGATTGCCCTCACCCTGGCCGTTGGGGCCATGGTTAGAAAAAATTAAATCCTTAACTATGGGTCATAATTACTGTAAACCAACTTTTACTTTGTGTTGAAGAAATTTTTGCGAGGTTCGGGAGAGCCTCATCATCGCAAATATTTCTTGCCACAAACCAGTCCTTTTCTGGAGATGTTAAAAAGATGTGAAAGGTTTACAGACAATCAGACAGCTAAACAATGGACAGATAACAAACTTCAATCAGAAAAGTTCATTTGAGCATCTGGCTCAGGTGAGCTAGTATAAATGTGCATACACCAAAGAGACCAGATGTGACAGATAAATCATTGATTTTCCCTGCATCAGTGTAACCCTTCACTTCAAACACCAACTGTGAAAATATTGCTTAACTTAAAAAAAAATATATTACAAAATAATAGGCCGGAAATAGTAAGTTGTGTAATTGAATTTTTCTGTATAAGAATTAAAATATAGTTGAAACATACTTTTTGTGCAACATGATATATTTTTCTTCTGAATATGTAGTGTTATAATAAAACTGATATATATATATGTGCAATATGTTATTTTTAGATCATCATGTGCATAAATGAATACCTTGACATTGCACTGCACATAATTTGTCTGTCGCTGTAGCAAAAAGAAAATGTAAACATCACATCAGTCTACAATCAGGGTATACATAACATTGCCTTCATGCAATTTATCAAAACTATATTCTTTCTTTTGTTAAAATAACAGCTAGGGTACTGATCTAAGCCTACCTTTAAGAGAATTTAGATAAAGCCTGTCTCCTATAGGACTACAGCCCATTACATCAGGACATGAACAATTATAACAAGGACAATCAATACTAAGGTAGAGGAGCTCAATACAAACACCAATACTGTCTTCTGTAGTCACACTGTCCTTGTAAATATCGGACAGAAATGTCTACAACCACTGGGGGATAACTTCTATAATTCATATAAGTAAGTGAAGGAAGTTCAAATCCTAATAAAGTCATTTTTATGGTGATCTTGTCGAACACCTGCATAAGCAAGAACTGACCACCAAAGGGTTACCTTCCTCTCCATCTCAGTGGTGACTATGTAAACTTGTTTTCAAAAAAAAAATTTGTGACCATTCATGTCTTAGATAAGACTTTATTGAAAATTTCATGAAGATAACATCCAATCGATTCAGTTGACCTTTCTAATATATTGCTTAATTTCTTGGGAAAATAATCTAATATGGAAAAGAAAAAAAAGACAAAAAAAAAAAAGACAAAAAAAAAAAAAATAAAAATAAAAAAAAAATAAGGATTTGCTCTAACTAAGGATTTTGCTCTATCTACTCTCTGCAATATTTCTCCCAAAAGTATGCCTCAAAAAAAATGTATATATTTATAAAAGTTACGGTAAACACGTTGGTTTGTTTACGGAATTTGGGGGCGTGGCTGTATCGAAGATCGATTGGTTTAAGATTCGCGGTTCTGTAGGTTAAAAATCATGCTAGGCATGTATACGTCGTATTGGGTTGTATTAAGGGTTTTTTAAGTCATTCGAAGTTTCGCTGCCTTAAGTGCAACAGACCCCCCCACCCCTCCCCAAGTATATTATTTTGTATGGTTTTTCTTTTCATGAATGTGTTCATTAACTTATCGTTTCTCTTTTGTAGAACGGGATGATTACTTGTATGTGACGAAGATTTATTTAATGTTATAACGATTGTAAAATTAAAAAGCTGTTGCACTCGCGCATGCGAGCTCATCCTATATATTGGTGTTTTGAGTTTTTATTTATAAATAATTTATGTTCGTTTGAACTGGTGAATTTAGAACATAAGAACTAAAGTTTATTATTGTCCTTTTTTCTGAGGCTCACTCATGAAAAGATATTTCTTAGGTCATCTGACCTTGACTCTTGATTGTTTTTTCTTTCAAAATGCTGCAATACAAATATCAAGATCAAACCTTAAGTAAAAGATTTACCTGAACACCAGATGTGTCATTTGAATCGTGCGGGATCTGAGATGAGAATTGTGAATCAAATGGTTCCACGTCATCCTTGGCCAAATTCAGCATGGAGTTACGTCGCTCACCTGAATTATCAAAAATCATTATTAGCAGGTAATGAAAGAGAAATAAAGCAATGGATTTTTCCATTTTTCTGCTAGAAATTGATTTTGCTATGGCTTTCGACGAGATAATCAAACTACACTTTTTGATAGAAACACCCAAAGAAAGCAAATCTCAAAAAGGAATTAGAGTCCTTCCAAATTCAGGCAAATTTCTCAAATAACTGAGCATCCATTATCGTTAACTCTTAAGGTTCCAAAGAGTTCATTTTATTTCACTGAGTGATTGATCACAGCTTATTTTTCTTGATCCACAAAAAAATTGACTATTTCTTTTCATTTACTAGAATCCCAAGAAGCATAAACTTTACTGCATTTCTAGGTAGCGCTAAGTCATTCTTACTAATTTTCTGTGCAATTAGAGAACTCTTGTAAAATAAAATAGCCTAATGTAAAATATTGTCATAGAATCTATAGAACTTTGCCCTAACACCTGTAAAAATTTACAGTGGGTCATCTTAATACTCAGGTGATCTAAAAATATGATAAATTTTGGAAGACATTACCTTGTTGAACGACTGGCAGGGGTGAAAACCGACCTTCGTTTTCCAGCGAAGGACAAGAGTTACTGTGCCTGGCTAAGTGATCCTGAAAAACAATACTATTCACTTAAAACAAGCATGCTCATCAGCAATCATCTATTGGGTAATTATTCCTATAATCTCGAAATAATTTCTTTTCAAATAAGAAACAATTGAGATTTCTCCACTGAATAAGACCAAATGTCTGGATGCTTAGAGAAACAAGAGGCCCACGGGCCTTATAGGTCACCTGAGTATTGTGCAACAACTTTCAAATTATTAAATTTGGTTCCTGTTTTAAACCAGAGACCATGAAATTCGCAATTCACAATATTGAAAGAGGCACCATTGCTTATCATAATTATAGACTTAGCATGCTTACTCTATTTACTTAATACCAAAAGGTAGATCAGAGTAACATAGAGAAAATGCACTTCTGCTTTATAACTAGTTGTGCACATCATCCCAAAGGAACCCCTGACCTTGGGGCCACATATTTCAAAATTTTGCAAATTTTATCATAAAATGGTTGATTAATACCTAAGAGCAGATTTCAAAGCATTAATTTTATTTTCAGACTATGTACCACCACCCCACCCACCAACCCAGGAAGGGGGGGGGCATAAAAAAATAACCATTTTGCTAGATGCACCTTTCTTCATCATAAATATATATTCTTAGATCATTGGCATAAAACCCAGGAGCAAAGAAGAAGATTTTCAAAGAATTAATGCATTTTCACTATATGATCAATAGAGCCCCGCCCTAACACCAGAACCCCTGATCCTGGGGCCACAAAATTCACAATTTTGGAAGAGGCACTCTTGTTCATCATAACTATGTACTTAGTTAGTTTATTTAATACCCAGAATCAGAGGAGAAGATTTTCAAAGAATAAATGCATTTTCACTATATAACCAATAGTGCCCCACCCTAACACCAGGACCCATAACCCTGGGGCCACAAAATTCACAATTTTGGAACAGGCACTCTTGCTCATCATAACTATGTACTTAGTTAGTTTACTTAATACCCAGGAGCAGAGAAGAAGATTTTCAAAGAAATCATGCATTTTCACTATATAATCTATATAGCCCCACCCTAACACCAGAACCCCTGACCCTGGGGCCACAAAATTCACAATTTTGGAAGAGGCACTCTTGCTCATCATAACTATGTACTTAGTTAGTTTATTTAATACCCAGAATCAGAGGAGAAGATTTTCAAAGAATAAATGCATTTTCACTATATAACCAATAGTGCCCCGCCCTAACACCAGAACCCCTGACCCTGGGGCCACAAAATTCACAATTTTGGAAGAGGCACTCTTGCTCATCATATCTATGTACTTAGTTAGTTTACTTAATACCCAGGAGCAGAGAAGAAGATTTTCAAACAAATCATGCATTTTCACTATAAGGTATCACACCGGTAATTGACCAATCAAAATGAACTTAGTCAAATGTAGGTCCATACATATAAAATTATTTTTCTTTTCTTTTGAGGCGTTTTTCTATTTCCTTCCAAGCCATTTTTACAACTTTGGTACCTGTGCCTAGTAAATTTTATGTACTTCGTGAATAAATAAAGGTTTTAGACAGGAACTATTTTTTTCAGGGCATAGGAGGCTACTTCCTGTGATGCACTCGAGGTGTTTATAAACAAAGTGAAAACACGTGGATTTGAGGGTAGCCCTGTTTGCAGATGGAAAAAGTCCGAAAATGCCGTGTGGGTACCCTGTTTTTTGGTGTCAGCTAATGTGACACAGGTAATGTTTAACACCTCCTGCTAAATATTTTTTCATGTAAACAAATACCTGATTTTTAACGATTTTTTATAGGATTAAACGTTCTTTTTTCAGAATTTATCGATGTGTAAACTCTGCCTTTTTGCTCACAAACTGAATAAAAGTGCGAAGCACTTTTATGTAAAGTTTGTGAGTAAAAAGGCAGAGTTTACACATCGATAAATTCTGAAAAAAGAACGTTTAATTCTTATAATTCCAATTACGAAGTTTTTAAATTATTAAAATTATTTCCCTTTGAGGCCGCCATACAATCCGTTATTTTGTACGGCGTAGGAATACTTTAATGCCACCGATGCCACAAAGAAACGTGTACAAGATGAATATCGATAAAATCCAACTTAAATTGTCAAAACAATCAATAAATAAACTTATAAAAATTCATTGAATATTGTTTAAGTCAACAAATATCGTAAATACGCGTATTCTCCAGAATAATTCGTCCTTGACCATGGCCATGTTGACGTCATGACGAAAGTTGAAGACCGACGACGTCCTCGATTTGCTCTGGTTCGTTCAAAGATTTAGGGAGAATATGGGATCTGTAGGATGTAAACATATGAATTTGATGCCAGAAAGGCAAGAGTCTGAGGTACGTTTCTTTTCCCTATCACAACGATACCAACTGAGCTGATATGGAACGTCGAGAAAATGACAGCATGATCAGCGAGTTTTTAAAATTCACACTCGTGATGCGACAGTGACATAAACATAATATTCCCGTCTGTCAGTCCTTTTTTATTCATTCGATCATTCATTTATTTTTTATTTCAAGTTTCTTGTAGCTAAAACGGACTAGAAGTATCTGTTTTCATTGTTTTTACAACAGTCAAGAAAGTAGTTCTGATTGAAGAATTCATCGATGTGTAAACTTTTTCTTGAATTTGTTTTCGTCCAATCAGAACACAGGGAATCAATAAATAAAATTAAGATTGGAATTATTATGCTATATAGAATTATATAGTGAAAACAATTACCGGTGTGATACCTTGAAGGTGATTATGAAAAATCATTTAAATCCTTATTAAAGACATTTTTCATTTTAAAAAGGCATATTTCAACAGAATATGTGATTTTATTAACTTTTTGTTAGAAAATACACAATTTTAAAATTAGAATTAGAATTTACATTATTTTTCACAGATTTCTGTGTAAAAATTAACAATAGGTTATTTTTTACACTCAATACTTTAAAATATGAGTAAACAGGTAGCATTATGCATCTAAAATGTAGAAATAAGTCAGAGAATGTTGTTTTTTCATTTTATATGACTTAACATTATTTGCACCAGCTGAACGCATTCAATTATAGTATCTACAGACTTTGCGGTAAAGGGTGTTAAAGCTGATTTTTCAAGAATAGACTAGTTCTAGGTTTGCGAATGAATTTTCAGCACAAGCGACAACTGTGATAAAATGTAAACAAGTGAAATATGTTCTCACAGAATGATAATTTCTACAGACATATGATTTATTTTAATTTATTCACACCTCCATTGATACATATATTACTGCATTGGAAGAATAGAAATAATGAAATGAGTCAATCTGTCTAATGAACTTCATACACAAGTTACATATGTAAAATTCATTAAGAATTTTTCACAGGAAGGAAGGTTATGACCAAAAAATCCTTAAATACTGTCAGAGTCTGCATGATAATACTTATTCTGAGTTCTAATCATGCATCATACATGTAGTGCAGAATGTCACTTAGCACCATGGCATGCCTCTTGTGGTTCTCAGGACTTTATTCATGCTTTCGCAGCTGACATTCATGTTTTTTCAGTTTGTCGGAGACTGTTTTTTGTTATTTTTTCATTTATATGTAGGTGTTGACTGTCACTTTTGATTTAAGTCTCAGTCAGTGATGCTTATATGAGCATGATCTATTAAGGATATCACTGTACTGAAATATTAATAAATTGCAAATTTAACTGATGAAGAAATTTGGCATATTTACATAATTAAAATATCAGAATAACTATAATTCAGCTAATAAGGTGCACCTTTCTTCTCAGATCACCTCCTATAAATTTTTTCAGCAGTTTTTGTACACCCACCCCCCTCAAAGAATCATGGAGGATGTCCTGAAACTGGTCTCTGTGATTCATTTTGTCACATATAAAAGTGTTCAAACCCATAAAAATGTTTAATATTTATATTTTAAAATTTGAATTTTTATTTTTTATGTAAATTTGGTGAAACAAAAAGATGTAATCTTGCATAAATCATGGAAATTCATTTAACACCTTTGGAATTCCTGAGTAAATCCATGAAAAGAGAATAATTATGCATGTTAAATTGAAATTTCATGGCTAATTTTGTCTTAAGAGAAAGCCAGTTACATAAATCACAACAATAAATTACATCTGAATTGTTGTCTCCATTTTCTTATCATCAAAGCCAGTTTATTGGAGTGTGGGAGCTGTCAAGAACCTCCCTAGATGCTGATATCATTTAGACTGTCCTGAGTTACAACACAGCATTTAGATAATCTTCTGCACAGCAGCTTGAAGACAAATACCTAGGCTTTATTTGGAACATAAATTGACCAGATACAGTTTTCATTATCAACCCAGTATTTAACAATTTCTGTATTTTTGTTCATTCTTTGAAGGGGAAAATGCAACTTTGTTATGTAATAATTACATAATGGTCTTAGACTTGTAACCTCTTTTTTGTTTGTTGTGAAGAACAAAGCATATACTCTCCACAGATAAAAAATTGGTTGCCAAGCTTATTCTTTTAATGATGAAATTCTGCTTCAAAAGATGCACAAAAAACTGCTTCCAGAGTGCTCTGTGTGTTATTCTTGACTGCTCTGGAGTAAGGGAGATAAATGCTTCATATCTTCAGAAATAAGGGGATTTAGATCACCAGACTTGAGGATGTTGGGGACAATTATTTAATAAATCTCAGGTGCAAAAATGAAGAAAATCGAACACCTTCAAAGGTCCTTCAAGGTATCACACCGGTAATTGACCAATCAAAATGAACTTACTAAATGTAGGTCCATACATATAAAATTATTTTTCTTTTCTTTTGAGGCGTTTTTCTATTTTCTTCCAAGCCATTTTTACAACTTTGGTACCTGTGCCTAGTAAATTTTATGTACTTTGTGAATAAATAAAGGTTTTAGACAGGAACTATTTTTTTCAGGGCATAGGAGGCTACTTCCTGTGATGCACTCGAGGTGTTTATAAACAAAGTGAAAACACGTGGATTTGAGGGTAGCCCTGTTTGCAGATGGAAAAAGTCCG